ATAATAATAATAATAATAATAATAATAATAATAATAATAATAATAATAATAGTAGTAGTAGTAATATAAGAATAAATAATAGTTCAATTAATTAAATAATAATAATACAATAATAATATAAATCAAGTCAAATAAATATATGTATACAAATATCTGTAGACCAAACATTTAATCATAACAAATAAAAATAGGGACAGGATAATTAAAAATGAGAATAATAGCACCATCGGAGCAGTGCAGTTTTAAGTGAGAAGAGTATGTGAGTATTAATAATAAGTAAAAACAAATGACATAATTGTATATTAGTATAAAAACATATGGCAGTATTTGTTTTTTAAATTGAACATATACAAATATTGAAGTAGCTGGTAATGTTGGAACTGGAGCATCCTCAGATAAAAAAGTGGTGGAGGGAGAGGAGGAATTTATTTGGGTGGGGTCCAAAGAACCTAAAGCAAATTTGAACAAGAGCAACAATGGAGTGCAAAGAGAAGAAGGCTTATGGCATCAGGAGTAACATCTCACAACACAAACAGCTCAGGGCAGCGGCCTTTGTCCTTCTCGCAGGACTCCTTTTCAATCTCTTCCTCTTCGGGCCGCTCGGCCACAATGCAGGTGTTGGTCCTGCTCTGACAGGTCCAGTTTGGGCTGTTTGCCGTTAGGATGTCGCTCGTTTACAGGAGAAGGGACCAAATGGAAGACGATTGTCCTCGGTGCTCACAGAGATACGAGATAGCAGAGAGGATGAAGGTATCTCTCTCTGTGATAACGCCCGGGCCATTCCTCTGTATTGAAATAGTCCTGTGAACATTCCTTTATCTACAGATCCTCTGCATATTCCACATTTGAACTCACAACACAGACAGCTTAGGGAAGCAAGACCCTAGTTTTGAAAAATACAGAACGACGAAGCAACGGGCTAATGAACAGGTCGGGACAAAAGGCTTAGGTGTGACCTCAATTACAGGCTATCCCCTACCTGCAGGCGGACAAAGGGACTGAGCATGCTGCGAGGAGGCGAGGAGGCGAGGAGGAAGGTGTGAACGGGACAACAAAAGCCTGGAGGGAATCCACAGTCTTCGACACCTATCGCTTGTTAGTTGTTGTTTTTTTTACTGCAGCAGATACTGAAGGAGGAGAAAGTTGACAGGCTCATTGAAACTGAGCCAGAGGAGGGGGGAAGAGTTAAAGTTCATAATGAAATGAGCTGAGACGTATAAAGAGTACATGAGGGGTTCATGTAAAGGGCTTTATTGTCATGTTCACAATAGCTGGAGTGTAATTGTGGCCGTTCCAGGCTTCTCAAACAATGCAGCTTACACTGAATGTAAGACGTTAAATAAATAAAAATGGTGCAAGAAGTAAAAAAAGTGCAATAGTACACATATCATATGTCTGCACGATGCATGGAAATATATTTAAGAGATCATTCATGCCAGATTTGAGCTTTAAGCGTATTTCTATTTGCAGTCATTGGGAAGGTTAATGCATATCAATCAACAGACACAAATTAAACAATAAATAGTCCACTAACAATTATAAAAGGGATCATAGTACAGATATATCAAATATAAATACCAGCACAACTATTACAATTCATTACATTTTGGAATGGTGCAAGTCAAATGCAGAGTTAAGCATTCAAAATACAGTACAATTAATAAAAGCTAAATGTAAAATGAAGTACTCTACAGTGGAATACAAATAGAAATACTAATAAAATAGTGCCACAAATCAAAATCCCACAAAGATCATTTTAAGCTAACGTTGAAGCGGTGCATTAGCATAGTGAGGAGATGACCAGTAAATCCCAGCAGAAGTCCCTAATGAGATTTCCTGGGGCACAAATGGAGAGATGTATCAGAGTGTGAATGTTATCAAGCTCTCCCACCTCCTCACTATCTGACCCCCTCTCTCCCAGACCCCCTTCCCCTCTTGGCCCTTTGTCATTACTCTTATCAGGACCACTCTATCATTCTCTCAAAACGGTAGTGGCGCTCAAACCGCTTGCAAATGTAAGTATGTCTTTGTTTAGGGCCGGAGCGGGTCCCGCCCCCCCCAGCTCCCTCCTGGGCGCAGCTTGATTGACGGCCCTCCGCTGGGTGATTGACAGGTGGCGTTGGTGAGGGCCCTGATGGCCTGTGTGACAGCTGCTGGGTGTCTCCTTGTGTTGGGCCCCGCTGGGTGGGTGCGAGGCCCCCAGGATCCCTCAGTTCAGTTAGCTGGGGCCCGGTCTGACCCCCCCCCCCCTGGTGGGCTCGTTGTTGCAGATCAGCTTGTTAGCTCGCTGCACCCTGTCCTACACATCTGCTGTGTCACACATAGAGGGCGTCACACTGAGATACTCACTCGCTTTTTAAATCACTAACATCGTTATTTGCTCCTACTCATCTGCCTTCGGCCCCTCGTGTATTTGTTGTTTTGTTTGTCTGACTGTTGTTTTGTTTTTCTGTAAAGCGACCTTGGGCCCCCTGAAAGGCGCTATATCAATTGAAGTTATTAGTATTATTGCTGTGAGGGTCCCTGCACATAGAGGGCGTCACACTGAGATACTTACTCGCTTTCTAAATCACTAACATCGTTATCGTGCCACTTCCCTTCCTACACATCTGCCTTCGGCCCCTAGTTTATTTGTTGTTTTGTCTGACTGTTTGTCTGACTGTTTGTCTGACTGTTTGTCTGACTGTTTTTCTGTAAAGCGACCTTGGGCCCCCTGAAAGGCGCTATATAAATGTAAGTTGAACTCACTCCCACAGCCCATCAGAGACTGACCTCACCACCTTCAAACAGCGTACACAAACTCACCTCTTCAAACGGGCTCTTAATGTGTGAGTGTTGTTTTATTGCTCGATTTCAATGTGACTTTTACTATATTTAATTGTTGTCCTTTTTTTACCACCTCTGTAAAGCGGCTTTGAGCACCTGTAAAAGCGCTTACAAAATACATTTATTATTATTATTATTATTGCTGTGAGGGTCCCTGCACACAGAGGGCGTCACACTGAGACACTCGCTCTCTTTCTAAATCACTAACATCGTTATCGTGCCACTTCCCCTTTCTCCTCTGAGATCGCAGGCTGTTTAAAAAAAGGCAGGTATGACATGTTTCCCCGTGTTACAAAGTGAGATGAAAAGTTCTTATAGTACTCATAGGTAATAGTTTAGTTTGGCAATAATCATCTCCTCTTTTTAAGATGAATGTTTTTTCCGCATGGGCCTTGTTTGTTCAAGACATATGAACTAACTTCTCCACCATTAGCACTTTGTTATGAGTCTGCAGTTGTAGTATTGAGACAATTAATGTATATTTCATAGCACACTATAGCATGTAGTTTTATGAAGCTCAGAAAAACAATTATAACAAACATATTTTTGTATTACTTTCAAATGTATTTAGCTTATACCCAAAGTGCAATAAACTGTAACGCTACAAAGAACAACAAGAAACATGCAGGTACCATTTAAGTGCATTAGTTTCAATGAGCGAGAGCCCTTCAAGAACGATTATTTATTTATTTTCTTTTACATTCATTTATTTAACGGCCAAGGTGCAAGTGAAACAGGAGGGTTTAGTCTGTGACGGAGGGTGTGAAGACTTTTACATTATTACAACTTAGTTTAGTTATATTGTCATTTCTATCTGTTTTAACACCTTGAGCTTTTGGATGCGCACAGGACGAGTTGTCGTTGTCGTCAAATGCATTATAAACACTTTTATCAGAACACAACTTAATTTTAGTTTGTTTTTATAAGTGTATATGCTGGTTAGGAAGTCAGAAATGGGAGAACTTAAAGTAATGTGTTGCCTTTTTATCCGATTTCTTATAGTTTGAAGCTCAGTTGAGAGTTTCCCTTGCCTTTACAGTACATCAACTCTCTAGAACCGTTAGCCTATGAACACGGTTTAATTTCCATCAAATGGATTTATGAGTCGTATCGTTATTTGAATTTGACGCAGAATCTGCATACAGTTGAACAAACTGAAGTTCATGCATCCATTATTTGGCCTCTAAAGCCTCACAGAGAGCAGCTAATGAGGTTATTGGGCATCTGTGACGTGACATCTACATTTTGGCCTATTTGTGAAACAATGGTAACAAGGAAGCCCGGGACATTGGGCTCTGTGTTTTCCAACTCAAAATAACAAAGGCGAGCAGCCGCTGGTGGGAGGCTGTGCTCTCATGGAAATGAGCAACTGAACCAACAATGTAGCGCCTAATCTCTTCAGAGAGAGGAATCAGTTACACAGCAGTATGCACCCCTCAATGCTTTTCATTAGAGTCAGCGTGCTATTGAAGCAGTCACTCCACCCCCCTGACTCGCACACACACACACACACACACACACACACACACACACACACACACAGCCCTCGTGTGTAGCCACAGGCCCTACTCATACATGCACCAGATACAAGGTAGCCCCCCAACAACAGAAGGGTTGGAATAAGTGGGGCAGAGGGTGGTATGGGGGTGCGAGGCCTCAAAGCATGGGATTAGAGTTAATGTGCCCTCCCTGGGTTATAATCTCTTCAGAGGGGGACTTTGTTTGAGGGGCTTGAGGGCAGTAAGATAAGTATCTATTACAGAAACTCCCCTCTTATCCCCCAAACATCCTCGCTTCAAAAATGAAGCACAAAAACACTTGCCTCTGTTCCCCTCTGTGTCGTCTGATATCCAAGACCCAGAAGCAAGTGCTGCCCTTTTCAGCTAATCAGGAATTAAGGTCTAAAGCCGTATGGAGAGTTAGAGGCAGCCATATTTACTCCATCTGTAGCCCGCAAAGTCAGGTAGGTAAAGTAAGATCAAAGGCAGCTTAAGAAGCCGGGGTTATTGTGTCGAGAGAAAGAAGAAAAAAGCTTTATCACAAGTTGTTCTTCTTCTCTGCTTCGTATAAGGAGAGAAGAAGAAGCCCAGTCACTCAGTATTATGGAGAGAATTCAAGTTAATCATTGAAGTTAATGCATACAAATAAAAAGGCACTGAAATAAAAATCCCCGATATAAAATACTGTTTATTTCAAAATAACTTCATCATATAAATATTGTGCAAAAGATGTAATGGAGGCAGTTTAGATTTTACAATTATGGCACCAAATTATAAACAAATACCTGTTTTTTTACAACCGATGAAAACGTGTGGAAATGCAAAAGCCCTTTAAAACCAATGAGCAGAAGAATTCAGAACACACTGATTTCCGTAGCAAAAGTTAATGCAGCACTTTAAATGCAGGAGGAGGAGGAGGGGGGGGGGGACATCAATAAAGAACAGTCCTGTGACAATCACCTCTCTGACAAAAGAGTTTATCAGATTATCAATCAGATTATCTGCTCAAACTGCAACAGGCAAAACACTCTTATCAGGGGAAAACCTCTTGAACGACGACAACAAATGGCAAGCGGCGACATGCTTCCTGCTTCACGACAAACACACAGCTTCACACTGAAGAACAGACAGAAGGTAGCTGACAACAAATCACAACTGCAGTCTGTGTTAGCGTTAGCCATAGTGATGGAAAATAGACAAACATGTCCTCTTCCTGGTAATCTGGGAGGTCTCTGATTTAAAGAAACACACTGATGGTTCTGTATGTTTAAGCCCACTAACTACTCCACATTTACTCCACATTTAAACACTAGTGCCAAACATTCTGCAAAGCAAACTGTAACCTTTGAGACTCGTGCTTCCTTCCAAGAAGCGTCTGGCTTCAGTACAGATGTTGTATTGACATTAGGGAGTGTGCTGAAATGATTAGGGAGGACTACAGGTGAAAAAACGGAGTATGTACTTTATTTTTCTTACTGTTGGCATTGACTTTCCTTTAAAGAGTAAGGCAGGATTTTACCTTACAAAAGATTCATATTTTATTAGAACCTTTCCTTGCAAATTAATTGTAGGAAAAAGTAGTTCAATAAATATAAATGGCTTATAGTGTTTCAGCCAGTTGATTTGAATACCATACTGCTGTGAGTCTAAATCAATAACTGTAAATCACTCTGGCACCTTGTAGATAGTTCTGGATGTTCAGCATAGGGTCGAGAACATAACAACGTAGTAAGCCAAACAGACAAACCACCAGTGTGCTCCTATTCAAAGGTTTATTTGAATATAGGACACCTGTCCCTTTAATTCCTCTCAGAGTGAAAGTGAGTCAGGGGCCGTTTCTCAATGTGGAGTATACCTGCTGTACCCACTATTTCAAGTATACTACGTCATCGAGTGGCGCCGAATGCTGGGCATTTAAACAGTCCTTCAGCGCCACTCGATGACGTAGTATACTTGAAATAGTGGCTCTGCAGCAGGTATACTCGACATTGAGAAACAGCCAGTATCTTTGGCTCTACTTGTTGTCTACTTGTCAAGCGACGAGCGAAAGCGATGAACATGGCCTGAGCTCATTTGAAATGTTAAGGCATAAGTAACATTAAGCAACATTCCCTCAAATGTAAAGGCTTCAAGAAATACTTTTAAGGTAGGCATAAATATTTCAAATACACATATAAGCAAAGCATCCCCTGGAACATCTCCTCTTCAATGATAAGAGTCTGTAACTTTATGAACTGTTTGTCGGTGCGTGTGTACATAACAAAAGACACATATTCACACGAGTATATACAAGTAGGTTTACAATATGTGTGTAACTGTGGAATAAGAACATTTGTAAGTTCTCTTGTGAACATTTTCTGAGAATAACTGTGTATTCTGTGCCATCAAAATGGATCTGATCTGTTGCTACGAGTTGGATTTGTAACTGCTGCCCCGGAAAAAGAAGTAACTTTGAATGGCACTTAAAAGGGGGATGTTTTGGCATCTCCAGACTTTGTGGAATATTATATATACAGAATTAAACAACGGAAAAATAAGTTTGCGATATCTCATATATGCATGTAGGTATCAGGTGACTGTGAGCGTAGGAGAGCGAGCAGAAATGGTCCCTGGGTTATCTTCCTCTCAGCGTGAGAACTTCCGGGGTCTGAAGGCAGGCAGGACGAGCTGGTGAGACGCCGTCCTCTCCTCCTCGATCGGAGCCAGCTCCTCCGCTGAGCCCCACCTCTTCTTGGACTGAAATAACGACGCCAACTTCCTGTTCCTGTTCCGTTCCCTGGCCTGAGTGACTTGAAACTCTGAGATCACAAGAAAGATAATTTCAAAGGTTAGGGAGAAGTGGCAAGCTCCAGGTGTGAAAAGTTGGAGAACGCAGAAGTGCTTCAACGTGCGTCCTCTTTTAGAGACAGCAGTGAGGTTTATAGAAGTCTATGAGAAAATGAAACTTCAAACTTGATTTATTCCCACAGTAAAGATTATCCTAACAAGTTTATGGTCTCAATCATTTCAACCCAATCAAGTTATTCAAGGAAATGAACGCTTAAACAGTGTGTTTTCGGTTCATGAAAAGTCAATTGTTTTATATTTAGATACCCAAAAATGTCTCTTCAAACCAAATTACAAGATGCTCTAGGGAAGGCCAAACAGAAATACGACAACATATTAAAAGAAATTGATAAATGCAGCTGTTCTTGTAAACCATTAGTAATATTAAAAGCTATTTTCGATCATGTAATTGTAGTAGCAAAATGACGGGGCACTCACGCAGCTCGCACTCTTCCTCCGGACCCTCGGGTTCTTTGATGTTCAGATAATGGCCGGCAAGATGGCCGCTGTAGTCCCTTAAGTTTTCTTTGGCCCCTGATCAGAGCGAACAAATAAAAAGATCTCTGCTAACCAAAGGGAATCATGGAGGCTAATTTACTGACACTTTAAGCTTTAAGAAACAACCCATGATCCACAGGTACGCACTCCCTACTGTCACTCTTAAACTGAGGAACGGCACTGATATTGTATCATGGAGTTTACTTTAAATTAGAGTTGAATAAAGATGCGTATATTTTTAAATCAGGTTCATTTAAAATATGCGACATAAGGATTGTTCATATACAAAGTAATTCAAATTATTTAAAGGGGACCTATCATGCAAAATCCACTTTTGTACGTCTTTTATACATGAATATGTGTCCCCGGTGTTCCAGGGAACTCACCAAGTGTCAGAAAACACAACCCTCTCTATTTTCCTCCATACTCAAATCTCTAAAAACGGGGCTGCAACAGAGCTGATATAGATTTGAAATTGTTCTGAAGTCAGAAACGGGGAGCTCCGCCTATATGGGCAACTCTCCACCTATCAGGGGAATGGGGGGGTTGGGCCACGGCCATTGCCGCTCGAAAGCGCTGGAGACGCTGTAGTACATATGCCAAGCCTGTAAGTGGCGCTGTAGTCTGCCAAAAAAGCAGCGAAGAAGACGTCTCACAGAATCAGCCCTTGCAAAAACAGGGCTGGAAAAGAGCAAATAGAGCGAAATGAGGCATGGCTAAAATGCATGATCTGTTTGGTATTTTGAAAAAAAAACTTCACAGACATGTTTTATATAGGTATGGCCCTACAATATATTATTCAAATATAGCATGATAGGTCCCCTTTAATTCATCTCAATTGAAGCACTGTGCAAGACTGATATTAATGGCTGTGCTAAATGAGTCAAAACGTGTTTTCTTTACCGTACGTCACGATGAGAAGGTCTAGGATGTGCCGATGACCGTGTAACGCTGCAATGTGTAAAGGTGTGTATCCCTGCAGAACAAAAACAAGAGTAAGACAATGGAAAAGCTTGCAAAATATGTATTGTAGAGTTACTCTCTTTTCTTTAAGGTAATGGTGATGAAATGATGCAAAACAAACATTGTCATTTTCACATGAAAGGGGTTTTCAAATTGACATTTTATTTGTGAGTTCAGGGGTCGTTACTGTGGCAAAGTGCTGGAAGAGTTTAGTACCTACCCCCTAGAGGTTCCCAGGCCCGAAGGCAGCCCATGAAAACAGCGTGGAAAAAAATATACAAATTAGCAAAGGTTATGGAAACATAAGATAATGATAAAAACATAATTGCTTGGTAATTCGCTGAAAATTGCAGAGTTGTGCATGCTGGCACATAGACGCACTGTTTTGGGAAACAATTAACATGACATGACATGATTTATTAGCGGAGTACTCCCCACAACACGAGCTGTGATACATTTACACAGCTGGAGCTTTTAGCATTACATCACTGAGGAGGAGGAGGAGGAGGAGGAGGAGGGACAGACAGACCAGCGGCCATGATGCTGTTGTTTTCTATTAAAACCAAACAACTTACTGTACACACCACCACCTCCTGATTCAAACCCCGGATACTCACATGCTGCAAGACAGAAGAAAGAAGGAATTCATCAGTGATAGATAGTGCACAGTGACAACATTTTACCTTTCAATTAAAGGGGCCTCTCCACTGATTTCAGTTCAGTTAAACGTAGGGTAGGTAAGTTTGAGAAACCGGCTCGAGATACACTTTTTGTTATATTCCATGGAATGCTCTTAACATCCCGATAGCAATGAATATCTTAAGTGCTTTGACAAAGAATCCATAAAAAAATGTCATCTGTGGAAGCCGTAGTACTGTAAAAAGCACGACCAATCATCTGAGCCGGCCCGGCTAAAATAACTGGATGGCCTACCTGCCTGTCAGCCTTCCATCTGTGCACAAACTTATCTCGTGCCCTCATTGGTCATGTGCGCGTTCGTGTGTGTTGGAGGAGGGGCTCTGTAAGGAAGTGGCAGATTTTTTCCGGCTGTGTATTTTCAAATTCTAGCGCACTCGAGCTGGTTTCTCCAAACTTACTTACCCCACCTTTAACTTATCACAGAGAGTGCTAAAGTTCTGAAATGTGAGATGTATAAGTAAGTGCAAAAAACGTTCGGCATAAAGTGTGAAAAATAAGCAAATCCAAAATATATTTTAATTATACAAATAATACAACGTTCTAGTTTTAGAGCTTGAAATATGTCAAGCAAGTAAAACCTTACTATTTCAGTTTTTTGCAGCATTTAATGAACTCTATTTCCCATAAGCCCTAGATGAATGTATGTTACTTGTCAATAAAATAGACACGTATATTGGCTATATGAGGAGACTGAACGCTGTAAGAGTTAAGAATTGGCAAAACAAATTAATTCAAAAGTAAATTGTTAACAGTATCTGTGCTGGTAAATCTTCATGGGATTTGTAGTTTTCTGCACGCTTACACGTTGTAGTTGATAAAATAAATGCTTAATGAGAGATTGCAGAAGCCAGTGGAACAGAGGCAGGTATGTGACCGAATGGCTCTATTTGAAAAATATCAAGTTGCATTGTGGGAAATGTAGGATATAGGTTTTTCGGAGCTTGTGACTAAATGTCTTGATATCTTGGCTTGAATTTCATCTCTCCCTAAAAAAACCTAATGTATTAAATGGCAGTAAGGTAACTCCAGTCATTGCAATTAAAATTTAAATGTATCCTTCAATGTCCAATACTACATTTCAGGAGTGCCCCTTTAAAATAAATCTCAAATTAGACTCACTGATTTGGTGTTGACGTCAGCGCCTGCGTTAGCCACCAGAGCGGCCATGTCCTGGTTGCCATGTTTGGCGGCCCAATGCAGAGCCGTCTGTGTGCAGACAGAAAAAATAATCATTTCAAAAATACACTTCTCCTACAATATTCTGCAGTATTGTCAGGCATGGTAATTGCTGTATCATCATTACAAGTTGTCTAAGCAGCGCAGCCTCCTATTGGCCGTGTGAGTGCAGAGGGCCAGCTGTGCACGGAGGGGAGTGGACGGATGGAGGGATGGGGAGAAGGAGGGATGGAGAGATGGTTTCCTGCCATCTAACAGAGCCTAATTACAAAACAACACAGCCCTGTGCCCACGGTTGGGGGGCCTGTCAGCGGGGGGAAGATTGATGATGTTAGTGTGACCTGCAGAGCGGAGACCCACCCAGACATCAGCACTACTGTCAGCACACGTCAGGAAACACGGGCCCCAACACTCAGAGATACACCCGCACGCTAAGATGTGTGTGGAAATAATAGACAGATGTATGTTAGGAACACACACTGAAAACACACGCGCAAACCACATCCACCTGTTGGAGTGGAGCTGTGATCTCCGCAGCCTCTCCGACACCCTTTGAGCTGTGTAATTATGGGCTATCAACAGGTGAAAGCCCAGCGTCGATGCAGATGTTTGAGTTACTGCCTCCAGTGTTTCTGAGTCTGACCCTTAACACAGGGAATCACACAGTAACCGTTTAGTTACACACTAACCGGGTCGATGCAAACCTTATAACCACATTTTTTGACGTCTTTAATTTTCTGATTGGAGGAGAACATGTGTTAAGATAGGGGTTTCCATCTAAATGTTATTATGAATCAAATGTATACAATTAAATAAATGTATTTATATATAAGGAACAATTCAAAAATGTATTTTTACCCATTACATTTTTTGACTTTATATCCTTACGAAAAATCTTTCTGTCTGGGTCTTTAAGTCAGAAATGTGTTAAAAACAGTCCAGGCTTTTATAGCATAGCTAGCATAGTTTGATTTAGAGAGTGCTTGCTGACACAGAATTGATGGATAGCCTTAGTTTTTGCCTGTGTTAGCATTACATCTAATTCACTCAAAACATCTGCACTGGCGATCTTTGAAACACGCAGAAAGTCATTGAACAAACTCCTACAAGTGTATCCAAAATCCTCAAAGGCTCTTCAAACTATATGTGTAGGACGATATGTTAACTTGTGCAACTTTCCCCTAACATTCAAACTAAAACGCACTTTGAAATGACCCAATAATTAATTTAGTATTAACCAGAAGTATTTTGGGGGTTTCTCTTCGGGACAGAAGGAATACTTTTTTCAACCCGAAGTTAAAAACGTCTTTAAGGAGTCTGCAAGTGCCCTCACCCCGGCTGTAAGTGTTGTTAAACGACATCAGCGTTCGTTTATTTAGCACAGAAACAGATGTTAGGCTCTGTGACTCGAATGCAACGATGCTCAAACACGAGAGGCACAACACCAGCACACAGGTCCTTTTGTGTTTAGAGGCTACGACGCTAATTGTGCTAATCGTTGCACAACAAGCCTGTCCAACAGCTGGCCAGAGGAACATGTCTGCTTGTGTCCCCTGAAGGGAGCGATGGGTAGCTCCAGCTCTGCGTGTCAGGCGTCTTGAGAGACAGATTGTGATGGATGCTGTCTGGCTGGAGTATCTCCATCTCTTTTGTCTGTCCCCCTGTCACACGTTAAGACAGATTGACCTAAGGGACGTTTGACAGGCGGCTCGGCGGGTCTCCCGGTGGGCGGGGGTGATGGACGAGGACGGACAGGATGCAGCGTCTTCCCTTCCTGCGCTGCTCGTTCCTCTTCCTGCCCGCGGGGGTGCCTCCACCTGTCCAATCACTCAGGACGTCCCACCAGTCCCCGCTGAGGGAAGTGGTGGCCAGAGAGACGCTCACTTCAACAATGGCCTGTGACACTTGATGTGGAGGAAGGCAGAGAGGAGTGATGGGAGAATGATGTACTTACAAACTGTGTGGCAGAGGAAGGGGGTCCCAGCGGGAAACGGAGGGCCACGTCACGAGGAGAAAAGGAAATAGAGAGAAAGAGTGAGAAAAGAGATAGTTGTGTTTTGTTGTTGATACGGTCATGCCAATAAAGCTCCTTTGAATTGAATTGGAGTAAGAGGTTTTTAACTTAGGTGAGATGTGGGTGTTCTAATAATAATACATCATATTTATTGAGCGCTTTTCCCACAGCTTGAAGACTCTTTACAAGAAAATACAAGAACAAATCAAGCAGTCCTGAGCTAAGTCAAAAAGGGGGGTGGGCTAGAGGACCTTAGGTTGAAAGCACGAGTGAACAGGTGAGTTTTAAGGGCTTTTTTGAAGCTTGTGAGAGTGTCTGAGGAGGCGTGTGGTGCAGTGGATTGTGCGTTGGTGTTGGGATCAGGGGGTCACAGGTTCAAACCCCACTGCAGTCAGCATGTCGTTGTGTCCCTGAGACACTTCACCCCAAATTGCTCCTGTGGGGATTGCCCACAGTATTGAGTATGTAAGTCGCTTTGGATAAAAGCGTCTAACAAGTAACATGTAATGTAATGTCTATGTTGTTAATGTATTATCTTTTTAATTTAGACACGACACCTATTACACGTCTGTCTGTCCTCTGTTGCTCTCCCAGAGGTTTCTTCCATTTTTTCCCATTTACTGAGGGGTTCCTTTGGAGGTTTTTCCTTGTCCGATGTGAGGGTCTAAAGACAGAGGGTGTCCTATTCTGTACAAACTCTAAAGCCCCCTGAGACAAATGTCAAATGTGTGATATTGGGCTGTATAAATGAACTTTGATTGATTGATGGAAACTTTGTTGGCACTTTGAATGTGATGGACTTGTTGAAGGCTTTGTAGGTGGTGAGTAATAGAGAGGTGAAGTCCCTCCCCTTCCGGTGGGACTCATGGGACCTAATTTCGGAAAAATTATGTATTGAAGTCAATGGGGAGAGAAAGCGTATCTTTTGATCCAGTTTGAATTGTGCCACGAATTACACATATGATGTTTGTCAATCTTAACAAATCATTTCCATGTCAAAAAAGTCACAGTTTGTCGTAAAACTGTTGAAATATAAGACTATGAAAAATACGCAACTAGAAAGACTACAAATCCCAGAATCCCGGTCCTCCATGCTGGCTCTTACGAACCGACTAACTCCCCTTGTGTGTATGTACAGCTCTCAACATGACCAGACTTGTAGTGATTTTCACCTCTTTTAATACTTTTCGCCTCATTCTGAAAGAAAGAAGTGAAATGTGCCAACGTGACGGCCGTCTTGATGTGGTGCGAGACGGGAGATGTAGCTCATTGAGCGGTTTCACACAAAAAAAAGTGTTACTTCACAGTTTTACGACACATTTTTATTTTTTTGACTTGTAAAATGATCTTTTAAATTGACAAACATCATATGTGTAATTCGTGGCACAATTCAAACGGGATCGAAAGATAATCTCTCTCTCTCCATTGACTTCAATACATACTTTTTCCGAAATAAGGTTCCATGGAGGTCCCCCGGAAGGGGAGGGACTTTGGCTCTCTATATCTTAAAGTCAATCTGGTGTTTGATTGGCTAGGGGGGATGTGGTCAGGTCGGGTGGAAGTGAGCGTGCAGACAGAGTTAAGGACGTATTGTAGTTTTTGGAGGATGCTTGCAGGTGAACCATAAAGAATGCTACTCCAGCAACTAAGTCTGGATGTAATGAAGGCATGGATGAGAGTTTCAGGGGGCGGTGAAGGAGAGGGAGGGCGATGTTCTTTAGGTGAAAAGGGCAGTGTTGTGATTATGGTTCTGTACTGTGTTCACTTTGAAGCAACCTTTCTAAACGGCTGTTTGAACCACCTGATCCCAACAAACATTTGGTCAGAACAGGAAACACTTAAGTCCTCCCGGGATGAAGAGTAATCCCTTCAGTCCTGGTCAAACATGTGATTTTTAGAGGCTGGTGTTTGGTACACTTAACTTCTCAAGATTCAAAGGCTTTTTTTTGTCATATGCACAGTAGCTACAGTGAATTATGGCAGTGCACATCTGAAGTCCCAGGCTCCTCTAACAACGCAACATAATATATAAGACATTAAACAATAAAACACGTTTAAAAATATAAACAAACACTGAAATAAAACCGTATAAATGCAAAGTTGGAGCGGAGCTTGGAGACACGGCAGCCATCCACGCTGCCGCACTAAGGACATGCAGTTAACAAAGTAAGGTTTTGAAGCCTTGGTTCTCATGAGTGTAGGTACGCTATCTCTGGATCTACCTCTGCAGAACAGGGAAAGGCTGAGGGCTAAAGGGAACATCAAAGACGCCTGAGGGGGACTTAGCACCTTCACAGGGACACAACCAGCATTGTTCTACAATTAATCCCAGCCTGCTCTATTACTTTCAGATTATCTTTAAGTGGGTGAAGTCTTTGTGGGGCATTAAGACTCTCCTTAATCTGCCTACACTTCAATGGCGGCCATGCTATCTTGTCCGGGTGGGGATGGCAGAGGCTTAGGGCCGCTCTTAGAAGGTGGTCTGCCTCGGCCGCAGGACAGTGTGAGAACTGTGACACAAGGGGAGGGACAACAAACATGAGCTCAAATCTCTTAAGCGCACAGGGAGACAAATAAAAGGATTTGGGTTGTCAGGGGGGCACAGGAGCTAAAAAGCTATCTTTCATAATCCTTTTGATAGTGGACCTTTGAAATGCATGATCTGGATGTTTTAACACAGGGTTCTCCAAAGCACTATGAAGGGGAAAGGTCCCGGCAGAATGAGCTTGTGAAAGTTATACAAGAAAAACACAGCGAGTATCGCATTCTGGACTACACAATCACAGATGGAGAGTTAGGAGGATAATCAGATTTAATGCAAGTTAAATTAGCTTTCCAGCTGGTTACCGTAGGTGTTTGGAGTTATTGCACATTATTGAAACTTACCCCCTGAGAAGGATGGTCATGGTAACGGAGTCGGGAGCCAGAGCGAGTCAAAGGGAGAAAATAAGAAGCTTTAAGTCAGAAAAAAGTAATGTAACACAAAGCGAATTGTGTATATATAATAACAACATCTAAACCGCTACATGCTACATGCTACATGCAGTCTTTAGCCATATTGAGTACTCACAGAGGTGAAGTCCTGGTTCAACAACCCAAAAAAAGACAAAAAAACAAACGTTAGTGACACCATTTATCCAACCACATGAAACACCTTGAGTTTTTTTTTTTTTTTTAAATAGTAATCAAATCAAATCAAATCAAAGTTTATTTATAAAGCACATTTAAAAGCGATTTTTGGTCGGGCCAAAGTGCAAGTACCTTTTATTCGTTTGTTTCCGTTTGGGTAATATTGAAGAACAATAACGGTTTATTACAACTCAGATCTTACGTGCATGGTTTTGGTTATTGTTATGACCAGTTCTGATCCAACAAAGAGATGGTTGGGATCTGTTAACACGGTGACATCACCATAAGACACTCTGGGACACAGGGCTGATTGAAAATCTGCAGAGCATCCCTTTAAAAGCCTGTTTACATAAAGATTAGGCAAATTAGAGCAATGACAAACTTTAAAAAAAAAAAAAAAAAAAAAAACGACTGTGGACAAATGTAATTTTCACACACGACTCAGCGGCGTGTTGTTCTCTATGTGCTGTTGCATGACGCTGCTGTTTGAATGGACGTAATGAAAGGATGAAAGGAGACTGAAAGCTCCTCCAACACAGTAGCAACGACCCGGTGAGGGTTTGACGTTGTTTGACTCGGTGTACCGACGCAAAATGATAAGCTTGACGTTTTTTTTTTTCCACCAGCTTGTCTTGCACTAGCCTTATCTTATCCACTGTCTAGCTTTCTCTGTCACATTCTCTATCTGGCGAGTAGTTGGGACGGCAATCCTTAACCGCGTTTTATGCCAATAAACCTCACAAAGAAGGTGATCCTGACTTTAGAGACACCCAATACTTTCATATATACGATGGATAAAGCTGTACTGTAGTTGTTTTTGACAAATCAGCGTTCAGCACTGGGAATGAAACCATGATGGTTCTTGAAGTATTTGAAAGTATAATCAATGGCACTTGAGGCAGACGTAGAAGTCAAATTATCTTTTGGTTCTTCTCTAGAATATGGCCTTAACTTGGAAAATATAGAAAAAGTGTCAGCTGGATATCTAAAACGGTTTATTCGGAGGTTCAATTTAAAGTTAACACACCTGACATGTCGGTACAAATGTCTCTTGTTGTTTAGGAGTGAACCTGTAAGTATTGGAGGGATAATCGGTAAAGGTTGAGCCATGAATTATGTTTGTGAACTGTGACGATGTTCAGGACTGTAGGGTCCAATCATGGACAGGCTGTAGATGTGGGTTTACATTGTTGTAAGTATTTTAATGGGTATATTTGAGTAGAAAAGGACTTATACAAGTTGTTTCCCCTGTTTGAAAAGGGTGCAATTCCCTTGATTACATCTAAATATTCAAAATTGTTGGAGAAGATGGAGCAAAGAAATGCACCAGGTTGATTAAAATTATTCAACAAGCAACATGTTTTTGTCTTTGCAGCAGAGTTTTACACATGTTGTCGATGACAGTCTGATGTTTTTTCCACTGCCTACCTTCTTACAATTCAATATGGCAAGCTGTCATGGTCGCTGAGAATTAGCCTCATGTCTCTGAACCTCACCATGTGGGTCACAGCGCTCCCTCGAGAGACACGGGACCATTTATTTGTGATCATTTCGTAATTGTTTTCTCCCAATAAGATGGCTAAGTCTTGGTGTTTGTTTAAAACGTTCTGATCATTTGACTGCTCCTGTTTCCTGCCCTGGCAGACTTTGTGGTATGGATGTGGATTATTATTGACAGCTGAACCATAAGATCCAATCCAGCGCGGCGTTACCTTCTTGTTTGCCAGCGAGGGGTCCTGTCTGAGCAGCTGAGAGAGGTCAGGCACTCGAGCACCTGCAGCCGAGTAGATCCACTCCTTCTCTATGGGATCCAGCTATCATAGAGAGAGTGGAGCGTGAGGTCAGACACACACACACACACACACACACACACACACACACACACACACACACACACACACACACACACACACACACACACACACACACACACACACACACACACACACACACACACACACATCCTGTTGTGTGCTCTATAGATCGTGCTGAAGCCTATAATCCATTTCCTACAAATGAGTGAGTCACAGCCAACTGACACAGAGAGGGAGACTCCCATGATGCACTGCACAGAGTCCAGCAGTTCATACTCTTACTTCTGCTGTTGGTTTAAAGCAGAGCTGGGACCACGTCATTGTTTTGCAAATCATTTGTCACTCTCAAGTCTTAGCACTCAAAACCCAAGTCAAGAGAGACAAGTCTCAAGTCGTATACTTTGAGTTTTAAATCCCAAACAAGTCATATACGTCTGTTTTTTTAAAATCGTTTTTGTACACAAACAAATGTATCTTTGGCATATATTTTTTTAACAAGCAGGCAGTAACTTAACGTTAGTTCTTATTGGTTCTCTCTGCTACTTGATAGGTTAGGATGATGATTGGATTGGTCTAAACAACGTGGATTTGAGGAGATGTGGACTCCCTGCTGGGGATGAATAGCGCTGACGTTGGTTCAAGACGTTTAAAGGTATCAAATATTTTCAAGTTGAAAGGATCAACTCCAAGTTAGGTCCCAAGTTATTAATATTATATTCCACGTCAGGTTACAAGCCTTTTTTCATTCAAATTGTTTACAATCATCCGACTTTTGACTGGAGTTTGAGTCAAATCCACAGCTCTGGTTAGAAAGGAAGGAGTAGGGACACCCCGGGAATTGTTGATTACCAGGACTAAACTTCAATGATCATCTTTAAAGTGTTTTCTTTTAACTTCTCTAACCATTTGTAATAATAAACCCATTAAAAAACCCTTAAAAGTGGAAGGAAAAGGACTCACAGCGACAGCAGCCGATCCCATACTGCCCGTACTCTCCTCGTCCTGCTCTGACTCGGACTGAAAGACAGAAAACACAGGACTGTTACTCAGGGGTGACGGGAAGTAAACTGTAACATATCAGTCATAATGCACTATATCAGACATATTGGTCACACAGCATCGTCATAGGACACAAATACACACACTCTCCATCCACTCCCAGACTGCTGTGACGTTCCTCAGCTGACGAGACGCGACCAAAGGGTGTCAGACAGATCGAGGGGTAATGAGGCAGCGAGACAAAGGTGCCGCTTTCACACATAAGGGGTAATGAATAACAATCCAATTAACAATTAACCAAAAAAACAACACGCCAACAGCCAGGCCGCGTCACCATTTAAGTATCAAGGGGCCAAGTGAAAGAGAAATATAGAAACAGCAGTGTAGTGTAGCGGTGTATAAAAGTGTCACTGGCTGATTTATGAGAGAGAGGGGGGATTTTCTTTTCCTTCTACTTGGCGTGAAATTGTTCTCAGATCTTACGGAGACACGATGTTAAAACACTCGGGCCTTTCAAGTCTCTTGCACAAACTGTCACACGTCAGCGTGCTGAACATGGAAAGTGGACGATTGTATTTATCCAGCCGACTCCACTCGGGCGCAAGAACATTTTTTGGGTTGAGAGAGACAGAAACAAAACACTGTTCAGCATGGAAAAGCACTTTGAATTTTTTTCATTAATGATATTTTAGCGCTGCAACTATTATTTTCATTGTTGATTCATCATTCCTTATTTTTAGACTATTCCTCTGGTCTTTGAATTGTCAGAAAACACTGACAAATTGCCCAATGTTCCATCGTTCAAGGTGACGCCTATATGTTCTATCAATATTGATTTTAAAAAGAGAAACCAATAAATGCAGAATTTTTGCAATAAAAATAAAACCATGAATCAATATCGATCAACTTATTGATTCATGTTGAGCCTTTGTTGTTTGTCTTGTAGTTGACATTGTGGAGCCTGAGGAGAAGTGAAGTGAAACTGTATGTATGTTTTATAGCCTAAACTAATTTGAAGAAAGTTTGTAATATATAGCCTGCCATCAGCTGACCACCAGTAGAAAGTGGTCTCTAATGACATTTCACACGGAGGATTCTTAATGGTTTTTAAACACAGTAAGATATATAACTACAGTTATAATGTTGGATATTTAAACAACAGTCTGCAGCATCTCTCGCAACTTTGTGAGGCTGGAATGAGCTGAATGCTAACATCAGCACACTAACAATGCTATGCTATGCTTTTCATCCTCCTGAGACCCAGAAAGAAAAAAGTTTCAAATTTCCTTTTTTTTTTATCACACAAGTCTTTAGGGTGGTATAAACATAATGACTAACAAAAACTAAAAAAATTAATTTGTATTTTTGTTTTATTGTGTGTTTTTTGTAGAGGACATCGGGTGTTAGTTATGCGAAGCATAGTATACAAACAACATTAACATGCAAGTACATTTAGACAACATTAGAGCACAACAACTCAATGCAACAAATATTGAGCCCTCATTTGTAGTACTCCATCCTTTTTTGAAATGCAGAGATACATCTGACACTTGAGGCACTTGATGTATGTTTTCCCACTGCATCGGTCTGCCATGAACCCTACAGAAACCTAAGGGTTAGTTTTGGCCCATAGTGGACTCCATTTGTGTTGTGTAAAATGGGGGAAATAAAAAGTTAGCAAATCCCCATGTGCTCCTCAGAGGACATTCATAAAAACATTTAGTTTTAGGTCACATAAGTATTACACTGCTCTGAAAACTCACTACACTAACTCCTAAGATGTTCCCTTACTATAATTAATTAAAATATTGAACTCACAACACTGGTAATTACAAAATTACAAACTTACCATTTCTCTTTCTACAAATAGTGCTTGTGTTGATGGACGCCATTTTGAAATACAATGAAATTATCTTTTTCAAAGCCACACCCCCACATATGTAATGTTTGAAAAGCCCAGGATGTCCTCTGTGGAGTACAATTGGACTTATAATACTGTGGCATGTATAACCTCAAAGTAATGGACCAAAACCCAATGTGCTCCACAGAGGACAAAAAATGAATGGGTGGGTCTCTGGAGGATATTGTTGTAAATCTTGCATCGTCACGCTATCGTTTTTCCTAAAGACACCAAAACATTTCTGATAAGGGAAAGTTATATATGAGCATGACACATTTTTTACTACAGAAATAGACTCTTTCTTTCTGGAGTAAAAACTATACAATGGAAAACTATTTCAAAACGTACTTTAAAATGTATTTTAAAGTACTGCAATTTATTTGTACTTAACTTACCGATATATTTACACTCTCATTTTCTCTATTCTATTTCTTGAGGGTATCTGTCCCAGAGAGTAGTCCTGCATTTTGGAGCCTGATATCATAAATCACTTTCATTAAGATTAAGAATAGTTTATAAAAACCTGCCCGGTAGCTTGTGTAACATGAAGCACCTCTCCACACTGGGTGTCCCAAATATAAACTTCAATGGTGTGACTAATACCTTAAGCAAACACACTTAATCTGAATACTGCTGCTGTATTAACACACTCCAACATATTCCGTCTGTCATCAAGGAGCGCCACATACCTTCCTCTGGGATGCATCTCAATGTCTTTAATGGGCACAAATGATTATTATCTTTATAATGAGTTCCAACATGTTGCTGGTTAACATAACAGAGAGATTCATTTAGATGCTGATTCTCCCCCAATGGGTCCTCCTCCCACTCAGCTCAACATACTGCAGGGTGCACATCTGGGTGCTTTACTTAGCTCCCCCTGGTGGCTGAAGGAGGGAAGCAAAAGAGTGAATTGATGAGATAATGTTCTGTTTTTAATGTTATATCAGTCCAGGTGGTTCTCTTCCTCTGAGCTTAATAAAACACATTTTAATGATATTTTTCGGAATTTAAATGAATTTAATGATGATAATGTTTAATTTCATTAGGTGCTAACCACTAAGATAATATAAGATGTACTTTATTGATCCTAAATTGGGAAATGTTTGCGTTGCAGCAGCATAAAAAACCAGGCATTGCACACAAGTAGAAAATAAAAGTGTAGAAATGAACAATGCTAAAATCGAAACATCTCAAAATAGAAATTTTTAAGTAGGAAATATGCAAGTTGACTGTGAAGATAAAAAAGGTATACACCTCTGACAAATACAACGCTATTGAAGGGTCAATTTTCAGTTAACACAATATAAAGCAGGATATTATTTACTTTAAGTGTGTAAGGAATGGAATATTAAATTAAATATAAATGTACAGTGTGAGTTAAAGTCCACTTAGCTTACAGTTATAGTGCTAGTTCATCTCTTTCGACACAAAAAGGTTTAAATCAAAATAAGAAATTAAAACAGTGTTAATGGTTTAGTGCACATGTGTCAAACTCAAGGCCCGGGGGCCAAATCAGGCCCTTGTTTGGTTTAATTTCGGCCCGCAGGATAATTTGTAATTACTATTAGATCTGGCCCTCTGGTATATTGCACGCACACCTTCACTCAATCCTGAGGGTTTCCTCCGCTCAGAGCCTGACCCCAAACTTTGATGAACTTGCACCCAAGATGAGATGCCAAGTATCTGGCTTGAACTAGCATCACAGAGCAGCACACTGAGTTTACATGGATGTTTCCTTTTGCACTTGTTTTCTTGAGACAACAGAGCATGTTTGGTTTGTTCTTTGAGGGGAAGTTTTTTTGAAGCTGTTGTTGGCCTGTGGAAAAATGTAATCATAAGAATTGAAGCAGCAGATAGAGCCATAAGAAATGAATGCAACTGATTATTTAATGTTTAATGTTGTTTTTATAGGCAATAATTTAAGCTTTGCTAGTTCCAGGTTTAATATGTGCAATAAGTTCATTTCAATAAGTTTTGCAATAAACATTGAACCAGTCCGGCCCTCGACTAGTACCCATTTTTTAATTTTGGCCCACTGTGTATTTGAGTTTGACACCCCTGTGTCTCCATAAACAGTTCAAACAGAGCTGTATAAAGTTATTTCCACCACAAGATTTGAGGCCTATATTTTGAAATATAAAGAGTATTATAATATATTGCATCAGGTGACTTCAACAGCTTTTCTATGTTTTAACTGAGAATGACCAGACACTAAAACAGTGTGTTATTTGTTTTGTCATTGTTCCCTAAAATGATATCTTGTTGTGTAAATGTTCCTTTTGATATGAATGTAAAGTCCAACAGCTATTTTATCTGACAGTCTATAAACTATTTCACAGATCCGCCCTGAATGAAACTGTAACTAGTTGTGAAATATGATGATTATACAAGTAGGTCAGTTTATTAACGTCCCTGTCAGATAACCTCAAATACTCCAAAAACAACTCGTCCGAATATGTTCTTTTGAATGGAATTTGAAGTGGATGTTACTCAACACTATTATATGAAACTAAAAGTTGTTAAAAAAATTATTTAACACATCAGATTAGATAATTGGGCAACTTTAAGTATTTTTTTCCCCTTCTTTTAAACTGGTTCGGTCAATTCTCTATTCGTACTGTATCGTTATGACTTTGAGTGGCAGAAGATGGACATTTAAAACATATATTTATTACTTTTATCCTTATTTTTGACTATTCTCTTGACTTGTTAACTAGTTTACGACCCCCTCCACTCCACTAGGGGTCTCTACCTTTGTGTTCTGCTTGCTGGCTCTTGTCTGTGTTTCAGGTGATCAACCTGATGAGCCACACCTGGGCCGTCGGCCAACACCACTGCCCTCTCACTCTTCTGTTGGACCGCGTGTTTGTTTCTGCACATTTTCACACACCCATACACGCAATCATTACTGATAACTGACTTCCACATTTATTAGGTTTCTTTGAAGACCTTTGGTTTTTGTGGGATTGTAAATAAATATGCTTTTGTTACACTTAACTTGTCTGGTCTCCCATCTTTGTTGCAGCCTATGAGCCGGGCCGTAACAAATGGGGGCTCGTCCAGCAGTTGTTGTTCAGGGAGGTGTATCTGTGCAGTAGGCTTTTCACAGCTCATAGTTTACTGGTTATTGTGACATTAAATATACTTAAGATCAGCCACACAGTTATTTGTAATCATATGTGTGTATAATTAGGGATATTTCTCTTTTACTAAATCATATTTGTTTGTGATTTTAAATTAACTGAGCTTCCTGTCAGTGTTTTAATAGTTTGAAGTATGGCATAAAAATGTGCAAAACTGATTCTAAAAAAGACGTCTTGAACACAGCATGCATGCAATGTAGGGCTGTGCGATTATGGCAAAAATCCTAATCACGATTATTTTGGTCAATAATTGATATCACGATTATTAAAAACGATTATCCATTTACTTTGAAAACATCCATTTATTGAAACAAAAATGTGAACAGTATGTTTTTAACAGTTGATTACCCTGAACTTTAAGTATAATTCAACTGAAAAACCAATTAAAAAAAAAATTACTTTTTTTTTTTTTTAATAAAAATAATAATCGTTTTATTTCGTTTACGTTGTTTTCGTAATCGTTGCAAGCCAAAATCGTAATCGAGATTAAAATACGATTAATTGCACAGCCCTAATGCAATGTGTATAAGGCAACTAAAACAATTAGGAAAACTCCTACCTGTTGTCTTTAAACCTGTAAATCACAATGATAGCTTTGGTGACTATTGTAGATGTGAGCGCAAAATGATGATCATTAACTTTTTGTGGATGAACAATTTGACTCATCTCTACAGCTCAGCGTCATATTTCTGCCTTTGTCCAGCTGCTTAAGTATTTCAGAGCTTCAGACTCGAACAAAATACAACATCCACTCCTACAATCATCGGTAATGTAAGCACGGATCAGCTCAATTCCAACATTGCCAAATCGTCACCTTTGACCCCGAATCTTTGTCCAGCTCATCGTCCTCGTTGGAGGGTTCCTGGATTTGGATAACAGGAAGTTGCAGAACAGCGTGCTGCATGGAGGCTGTTCCTGTCTGCTGTTCCAACACAAGAACAGACTTTATGTGCTATTAACTCTCTCAGATCCAAATGTGTGATCTGAGGACATTTAGCTGTGCAAACAGACACTTTGCCAGCACCATCTGGGTGTGGATACATGTTGATTTAATGCCTGTTTGAGCAAATAATGTGCCAGTACATTAAAACAGCTGCACAAAATACATTTAATCTTTCAAATCTATGATTAAATACTCAAGTTTACAGCAGGAACAATATGTAGAAGTACTACCAGAGGATTATGGTGCATTAAACTGCCTTTTATAGTGTTTTGTCTCACAAGTGCTTCTGTGCATTAGTTTTAAACAGCTCTGCCCTTTATGTAAAGACATAAGCCCTTTGACCTTCCCGTGCTTTCATAGTGGCTAACTTAGATATGTACCAGTGTTCCTCTGTGGACCAGACACAAGGCAGTGTAGAGGGAAGGCAGAGGACACTAACAACGATGGCCTTGTTTAGCAATAAATGCGTCTTTCACAAGAAGAGTAAACACAGTGTGCTGGGCTGATAGCAGATTTAGCTATTAGCATTTTAGCCCCAATTGGTGTTTGTGATTCAAGGTTCAAGGCTTTTATTGTCATTTGTGCATAGCTACAGCGTAGTTATGACATATATATTGATATATATAAGTTGCAAACAGATGAATGTTATGGATGTTTAACGGTCTTATGGTCGGTGGGTAAGCTGTCCCTTATCATCTCGTGTATTTAGAGATATAGAAGAATAGAAGCTGGTTTTAAAGTCACCTCTGCAGCCTCGTCCTGCTCTCCACACAGCATGGGCTCGTCCTGCTGGTCCTTCTGTTGATGAGAAGAAGTGGAGGGGTCCGAGGCGTCCCACTGAGCAGCAGCCGGAGCGCGGGCCGGACTCGAACCTCTCTGATCGTCTCTGTCCGTCCCGTGAAGTCTGGCGTCTCGATCCTGCAGCATCTGCCTGTACTTCTTCTTTAGGACAAGATACTTCTCACCCTGAGACAAACAGAGTCAATTAGGACAATTATGTATTTGAAAAGATACAAAAAGTGCAATGAAGAAACATTCATGTTGGTTTAACTGGCTTACTCAATCATATTTTGTTGTTTAGGTGTTAGTTAAACTTCAGTAATCGAACAATATCCACATATGCATATATTATGTTTAGTCGTCAATGATAGGAAAGACGTATTTTAAAGAATTTCTAAGGAGGTGATAGAACTTTCTTGGAGGAAAAACGTCATACTTTTTAAAATATAAAGAAACTGCCGTACGACACATCTGTACAGCTCTTTAAATAAAAATGTTGAGGGACCACATCCACGTCAGGGTATTTGAACTGCACATAAATTGTGGCAAGACCAGTTTCAGGGTTCAATGGAATAAACGTTTCATTGATTTGGTTAATACGTCATAAAAATAGTTTCAAGGAAACTGAAAACTGCAGCTGCACTCCCTCTGGGGAAACCAGTGGGTACAAAACTTTTTTTAAAAACAAAGATTGGACAACTCCTTGTTAAGTCATGATGGTTTAACTGGAGGCTCTTAACAGCAGCAAACATGTTTATGCCACGGTGTTGACATAGTAATACAGAATACATGGGAGCAGAGCTCTTTCCACAAAAGTTAATAGTATTGAAATAGTTCACTCACATTCTCTGACTTCACCGCAGCGATTCGGTCGATGATGAGCTTGAATTCTTCTCTGTATTTCGCTGCAGGGAAACATGTCTGAGGTTAAAACTACATTGTAAATATAGCTTTTTATTTCTCACATTCAGTCAAACACAAGTGGTTCCCACAACAAACAATGTCAAATAAGAGGGGAAATATTGCACAAACTTAGCTCAGTACTTTCTACTTCTTACATTTTGAACACAAATACCTGTACTTTCTACTTCTTACATTTTGAACACAAACACCTGTACTTTCTACTTCTTACATTTTGAACACAAATACCTGTACTTTCTACTTCTTACATTTTGAACACAAATACCTGTACTTTCTACTTCTTACATTTGAACACAAATACCTGTACTTTCTACTTCTTACATGTTGAACACAAATACCTGTACTTTCTACTTCTTACATTTTGAACACAAATACCTGTACTTTCTACTTCTTACATTTTGAACACAAATACCTGTACTTTCTACTTCTTACATTTTGAACACTAATACCTGTACTTTCTACTTCTTACATTTTGAACACAAATACCTGTACTTTCTACTTCTTACATGTTGAACACAAATACCTGTACTTTCTACTTCTTACATTTTGAACACAAATACCTGTACTTTCTACTTCTTACATGTTGAACACAAATACCTGTACTTTCTACTTCTTACATTTTGAACACAAATACCTGTACTTTCTACTTCTTACATGTTGAACACAAATACCTGTACTTTCTACTTCTTACATTTTCCAAACAGGCTGGTTCTTTTAGTTTGAATGTGTGTTTGGTGGCGTGATCATTATTATTTAGAGTCATTGCGTGCCTATTGATTTAAACACGATCCGTGTATCCATCATTTCCTGGTCTTCTCTAAAGAAGAGGGAATGGTGTCTGTTTACGATCGATCTGTGTGTGGGGAGCTACTGTCTGCAGGATGAGTTGCTGAGTTGTGTTTCTGAGAGGAAGCAGGTCAATAAACATCCAGCTGACCAAGCCAAAAGCAGCTCACATTGCAGAGAGATGTTTGTCGCAGTCAGAGCACTGCAAGGAGAACAAACATTTCCCTCCCAAAGATCCAAACAGATCACAGTGCATCCCTAAAGACTAGAACCTGAGTCCCTTAAACATACAGTAAATCTCTCCTGTGGGAACCAAACAAACTACAGCTGACAGATCCCCACAGATAACGCTATCTGCCTTTGTTTACAGCAGTAAGCAGATATGTGCACAGTGTGTGTGAAGCAGCCAGGTCGGCAACACAAGGAATGTCTCCAGGCCAAGGTATGCCATTCATGCAGAGGTGAACATGGGCATGCAGCTCGTGGACAATTGAAGTGTTTCCTTTTCCTGATGTGGACGGAAAGAACATTTGTAGTGAGACAGTTGACTCGCTTCAACAACAGGAAATCCAAAAGGAAGCGACCACTTACATCTGTCTCAACAAAATAATTCCTAGCTAACCAAAGTGAGAAACACGCTAGTTACTTATTAGCCAAAGGTCTCCACAAACAAGCACAGTTACCCCCTCCTCCACCCCCTCCTGTGCAGCTACACTGCCCCAGTTGTCCGATCTGATGAAAAAGCAACCCCATTAGAGCTCTACATCCACTCATGCATGTGGACTTAATTATGATTAAAACACTATCATCACAATTACCACATGTAAATCTGCAACCACATGCTACGACAGACTTCAAATGTCTGGGAAGCACTTTTGTAATTGGACCGAGCCGTCAGATGGCCGCTCTCTAAACCTCTGTCAACAACTGCAGTGCTGACATGGCATCTGGACAGAACATGCTGCTGCAGAAACACAAGGTCACTTTGGATAATCATTTAGGGAGGTTGGAAAACCGTCTGTATGTGCCAAAGGTAAAAGGTACAGCTAAATGGATAATGATTCAGTACATGATGGTATTTGTCTTGTTGGCTAAATATATTTTTGCCATTAAACAGCAGTCATTAATAGGTTGTGTGTGCTTTCTCTTTTAGGGGTTCATACCACTAGCTAAAACGTATGCAAGCTGATAGAACAGCACTGCAATAAATCATGTCCATCTCACAGGACTATGTCACATTTGAAGGAATAATTGACAAGATCTACCTCAAACAAAAACAAAATGTTTCATTTATAAGCGGTGAAAAAGCAATATTGCTCATGCAGCCTTACTTGTAGGGCTGTTCAATTAATCGTATTTTAATCGCAAATTACGATTTTAGCTTGCAACGATTATGAAAACAATATAATCGAAATAAAACGATTATTTATTTGATTTTATTAATTTAATTTTTTTTATTTTTTATTAAAAAAAGATTATTGTTTTTTCAGTTGAATTATATTTAAAGTTCAGGGTAATCAACTGTTTTTTTTTTTCAATAAATGGATGTTTTCAAACTAAATGGATAATCGTTTTTAATAATCGTGATATCAATTATTGACCGAAATAATCGAGGTTATGATTTTTGCCATAATCGAGCAGCCCTACTTACTTGGTCTGGTGTGACCAATAGCTTGTGGTGGCTAACATTAGCAAACGTTAGCTACTACAGTGTGTTTATGTTTTGATTTACTTTTGTGATAAAATCATTATCTGTGACATGTTTAAATATAGAGTGAGTTGGCCAGCTACTTGTATTATAGATTAATCTGATGCTTGTTCTATTAATTGATTTATTGAGATTGTAATAAAACATAAGAAAACCGTAAAATAATGTTCATCCCCTTAAAAAGTCTGGTTTTGTTTTCACCCAAATCCAAAACCAAAACGGTATTATAATGTGATAACAAGAAAATCATCAAATTCTCACATTTGAGAACATGTATCCATCAAAGTTATGTCTTTCTTGCTTTAAAAATGTCTGAATCATTGAATCAATTATCACAATAGCTGCCAATTGATTTTCTGTCCATCCATTAATTGATTAATTGACTATCCTTTGCGGCTTTTGCTTACCACCACAAGTGATACAAGTTAACTCTTACACATAGACAAACAGCTACAAAACAATGACAACAAAGACTATGTGAGTCAGTAACACAAACTCTCTCTGGTGTATTAGCTGAGCAATACTGCGTTTTATTGCTTTTTAATTCAACTTTCCATTTGTACCAGGCACATTCTGTTATTTCTTCTTTTAATAGATGGTGGGATGGACCTGATGTTCTTCCAGGGCTATTAAACTGCATTAGCTGGCTGTGTACACACAACATTTTTTGTAAGAAACCAAAAAAAAGGAAATGGTGCTGTAGGCCAAAGCAGTGATTCATAACAGTTGCATAAGCATGTGTAGACCCACACAAAGTGGTGGTGGAGAGCAGCAGAGAGCCGCTCAGTAAATATAACTGAGATCATCTCTACAATTGTGGAGAAACGTGAATTTATCATTATTAATCATTTAGCTGAGCGACAACAGCTGGGCCTTCACATGTTAAAGTGTCACATGGTGTCATAATATAGGTGATGGGTGCAGAGGTGGGAGAAGTACTCAGTCAGATCGTGTACTTAAGTAAAAGTAGAAGTATCAGAGTGTAGGAATACTCTGTTACAAGTAAAAGTCCTGCAATCAAAATGTTACTCAAGTAGAAAAGTATTAGCATCTATACTCAAAGTACCACAAGTAAAAGTAGTCATTGTGCAGATTGGTCCATTTCAGAATAATATATATGATATGTTTTATAATGATTGATCATCAAAGTGTTATCAAAGCTGGTAAAGGTGCAGCTAGTTTTAATGACTTTGTATACTGCAGGGTAGCTTGTGAATTTACTCCAGGTGGAACTAAAGTCTGATTTAACACTTGATTATATTTCAAATAATTTATCAAAATCTGCAAAGTAACTAAAGGTATTAAATACATGTAGTGGAGTAAAAGTATTTACCTCTGAATTGAAGTGGGAGAGAAGTACAAAGTGGCAACACATTGAAATACTCAAGTAAAGTACCAGTCTCTCAGTATTGAACAGTACTTGAGTAAATGTACTTAGTTACTTTCCTCCTCTGGATGGTTTTGTGTTCAGGCAGCTCAGCCCGAGGGAGGAAATGACACAATCCTGCTGAAGCTGTTAGAGGGGCTTTTAATGCAAACCAGATGTGTGCTTTACAACAGAGGAACAATGAAAAGACATACAACCAACATGTTTAAGCAGACTAATGGATGCTGCGTTTAAATAAAGGACTCATCAATGAATTAAAGTGTCATCTCTCACAGTACCGATAACACTGACACCGCGCTGCAGCACCACGTTTCCCTCTTTTTCCGGTTATTATCTAATCTTTCTGAATCCATGAGACAATAACTCGCTACTTACCTCGCAGCTGCACGTCACTGTGGCCAATAAAGGGCTTAAATGTCTTCAGAATATCTGCATTTTTCACCCTGCCTGAGATGCCTCCGGTGGAGTAGAAATAATCCAGCAGCGACTCTTCACTCACTCCACTCATCTTTACTTATCTCTGTAGCGGATGAGTTTCTGTTTTAAATGGAGTGGTTTCCTCTTTATTCTTGGGGTTTTTTCACTCCATAATGCTGAGTCCTGTTGGCTAATTTATTGTAGTACATATCTAAAGTTCACTCCACCCAAACGAGCTGACCGCTGCCTCGCCTCCTCCTGTTAACCCTTTAAAGACTCCACTTTATTCTCACACTTCACCCTCAGCGTTGGTTAAGTCTTTGTTTGTTTCCCGCTCTCAGTTTAGCTGTGCACGTTATAAGCCTACTCCTTTTTGCAGGTGATCGTGAACGTCTCATAATCATACACTATTAAAAAAAACATTATTTTGTGGTAGGCTAGTTGAGTCATTCCTAGCATTCGGTGCCATTTAGGTCCCCAACACATTATATCATACATTTTGTATTTAAAAGGTCTAATGCTTATTTTTTAAAAGCTTGGTTTTAAATGTGTATCCCCCTCTACCATAAAACAACAATGTTATTTACCCAGGATATTCAACATTTTTAGATTTTGGGCCAAATTGCTGTGTATTTTTGTAACATATATAAAAAAAGAAATCAAACAATCCAAAACAAATTCTACATTTTTGTCACTGTTGTATAACCCTTTTGCTAATATTCCTCACCAAATTTAATTTGTTTGTATTAATTCATTTTTATTGTTTAAAGTTTTTTTTAAAGTGTGTGTCCCCCTGTTTGAATGTCCCCCCTGTTACTCTGATTTGAATCCCTCCGGACACGCCCCTTTACTATTCTACTATTTGTATAACCCAGAAGAAGGAGGATACATTTTGAGTGGGAAAATCATCTTCAAGAAGCAGAGTGTATGCATTCTTCAGGGTTCTTACGGTCATTAAAAACCTGGAAAAGTCATGGAAATTCAAAATGCTAATTCCAGGCCCTGGAAAAGTTATGGAAAACAATATTTTTCCTAAAGTTTTGGAAAAGTCATGGAAATGTTGCATCAAATATAATTTATATTTTATCTAATCGCCAAAATAGTAATACTATAATGATAATAAATACTGTATCGTATAGTAATGAAACATAAAATGGAACCGCTGAGAAAGAGTAATCTTTTTGGTCATGGAAAATTAGGTAAAGGTCATGGAAAAGTCATTGAAAATCATTGGTGAGAAAGTGTATGAACCCTGATTCTTCCTTCAATGTTTTTTTTAACGTTTTTAAAGAACTTAACTGTTGCGGTAAAGCATAAATGTTCACCCTGTTATGCTCATTTTTAGTGGAAACTGATCATTTGTTTTACATTTAGATAATATGGTAAATATATCTATCAAATATGTGTTTCTGTTGTCACCAAGTGCTAGCTTGATTATCATCACACATTTAGCAATAGCCAAGTTTAGCATACAATGTCCACCCTGTTACCGTCCACCCTGTTACTATTTTTCACATTAACAGGGTGGACTCACAGTAACTGGGGATGTTAAAAAAGATTTTTTTTAAACATAATATCCTGAGCTTGACCAAAAGATTTTTCTTATACTTTAACAAGCCATCATTCAGATTAAATTAAAAAAAACATGGAAAATTATGTTTTTTATTTTTGATTAACCTAGCTGAAATGGCACCGAATGCTAGGAATGACTCAGTTAGCTACTGTACACGTATTTATACAGTTAACTTCTCAAAATGTAAGCTTAACACTAACACTAGACATATAGAAATGGTCTGATACAAGTGAAAGGACAGCTGCATACAAATAAATATAAAAGTATTTGCATTAAACTATTTAAAGCACCAATGATGGGTTTTTATTAAATATACATTTTATTGGTGATACAGGTGATAGTGAACGTCTCATAATGATACACCATTCAAAAATAGCTATTTTGTGGTAGGCTAGTTAGCGATAGTATAATACAGTTATCTTCTCAAAATGTAGGCTATGCAATGGTTGAACAATTAAGGACTACTCACATTTTATTAAGAACAACTAACACTACAGTATAGAAATGGTCTGTTACAAGTAAAAAGACAGTTGCATTCAAAAAATATATAAAAGTATTTGCTATTTAAAGTACCATTGATGGGTTTTTATTAACTATACAGTTAATGAATCTGAATGTCTAATAGTCATAGTACTTAAAGCTGTCAAATACAGTCAAATGTACAATATCTGCCTCAAAATTGTACTTAGTATAACACATTTTTCTTCTACCTATTTGTTCGTGTGTTTATTTTTCCCTTCAATGCTGATATGTTGTGGATCGATGTCACATACGATGGAAGTAATTGTTAATTGTTAAGATGTTCAGGTATTCAGGTCAGTTATATGGGAGAAACCTGTTTATAATTTGCCAGGTGTGGTCTGAAGATATTGTCCACTGTGTCAGAACATTTGACCTGACAGAGCAGGGGGACTCCTAGAAAATGTTAACATGGCTTTACAGAAGGCCAACGCTATAGGTGAAATGCATCTACAATAATATCTATTTTTCCATCACAATTCAATTAAAAAAAGGCTAAAAAACTTCATTTTCAAGATAACCGACTTCAATAACTTCATATAAATGGCAACAACAAGCATAATTGTGATTTCCCCCTGAAAACAGTTTCCTTTGCATTGTGAGCGTCAGGCATCTCTTTTCTAATAGCTGTGCATTTATCTTCAAGATGATGCTTTTGTGTACAAAAAATTGTGATGTTATTTCTGAATTTCCTTGTATTGTGTCTCTTTTGCATGCGTTTATCTCATTTGTAGTTTGTCGTACTCAGGGCCGTCGGAGATTTGAATCACAAGTCGTAAACACAGCCCCCCCCACAGAGCCCCAATTCTTGTTTCTCCCCCCCCCCTCTGTGCACACCAGGGGGTTTGAAGGCCAGTCATATCAGGTATTAAACACAAAACATATTGTCAGATTATGGATTTAAAGATCATTTATTGTCATTGTGCACGAAAGGGTTGCACAATGAAATGCATGTGTGGCTCAGTCCTCTATGCTACACACAAAAGCATTGACAACACAGAAAAAAAACAGTTGTAATGAATAACTGAAGTAACGTTTTGAATTTGCGACAACAGAAATGGAAACAAACCAAAACAAGTATGTAATATGACAGGCAACTTTAAAGTTAAACACATTTGACAACAGGGAAACATTGCCCATCATATTTATTTAATCATTTATTACTACAATAAACAGTATTTTATTTGTATTCCACTGTACAATATTGAATTTTGCATTCTGTTCTATATCTTATTTACATATAAACTCATGCATTACTTGGTCACTTACAACATTATCTGCACCATTTATCTTATTGTATCTTTTCTGACATGTATATAGTTTACTTAAAGTGGACCTGTCATGCTATATTTGAATAATATAGTGTAGGACCATACCTATATAAGGCATATTTATACTTTTTTTTTTTTAATCAGATCATGCATTTTAGCCATGCCTCATTTCACTCAATTTGAAATTTCTAGCTCTGTTTTTGCAAGGGCTGATTCTGTGAGAACAGCACCATCTACTGGCCTGGCATATGTACTACAGCGTCTCCAGCGCTTTCGAACGGCAATGGCCGTGGCTGTCTCCTCCTGATTGGTGGAGTTGGCCCAATAGCCGTAGCGCCACCGTCCTGACGTCAGGACAGTGTTCAAATCTGGATCAGTTTTTATCAGATCCGTTGCAGCCCCTTTTTTAGAGATTTGGGTATGGAGGAAAATAGAGAGGGTTGTGTTTTCTGACACTTGGTGAGTTCCCTGGAACACCGGGGACACATATTCATGTATAAAAGACGTACAAAAGTGCATTTTGCATGATAGGTCCCCTTTAATCTGCATTACTTGCACATTGGTCTGCAACATAATCTGCACTGTTTTATTCTACTTGTACTATTTTAGTTTTTAAATTAGTTTTATTGTTTTATATCTTATATATATTTATGTTGCATTGCTGGAGGAGCCTGTGACTGAAGATCTTCATTGCCTTATATACTGTAAATATGACAATAATGCCGTCAAATTTGAATCTGAATTTTACATTTTAGCATCAAAAATCATTGAAGATCGCAACCCGCCACCCCTCCCCATTAATTGGGTTTGTGCTGTAAATATTAAATGTGCCAGACTTACACGTTAATCCCTCTGTCCTCCTCTCGCTCCTCTTTGAACGAGTTTTCATTTAATTTAGAAATGGGCGATTTGTATTTCATGTTTTAGGTTACTGCTCTAAGACGACAATATTGTAATTACAGTAAGCTTCTTATAAGCTGATACAATTATTGAGGTGAGGACTTTACATTGTCCATTGAAAGTGGGACCTTATGCTCTTTCAATTTAGAAAACAACACAACTTTTACCAGGATCAAGACATTTGATCCCGGAGCATATGCCAGGTCTTTGTGGAATGAATTCATGCCAGAGAGCAGCTGGCAATACATTATCACCTTGATATTACTGTCAGGGAAAACAAACCAAACAGAGGGGGCATTAATCTGTCAGGGCGCCCAAACAGACCTGTGGTGGGAGAGGAGAACTCGGATATTTGAAATATTACTTATATTTCACGAAAACGCTCTGTTATTTAGAAAATCCTTTCCTTTCTGTACAACTACTTTTTGTAGCTACATTTGAGTATTTAAAGGGAACGTAGTCATTCTGCAGCACATTGTTGATTGTGACCGATATATTAGATTGTAAATACTCATGCATATATAGTTGACAATTGCTGATCAAAGTAGAGCTAGTTTTTGAAGTAGTTTAGTTAATGGTTTCTTAACCTAGGAAATCGGCAACATTCAAAGGGTCACAAGATAAATCTGTGGGTTGTAATATGATCAAGATGGCAGGAAAGAAGAAGAAGATATCAATATTGTTGTAATGTAATTTTAATGTGTTTATTCAAAAATTAAAATGACTATCCAAGGGTAGATACCATTACACTTCATATTTACCTTATTTTGGTCATTTCATGTTGATTTTTTTTCTTTCTATAATAATTGAATGAATACATAGTGTTTTCGTATTGGGCCATTTATATGACCCATTCCTCATCAGATTATTTAGACGTATAAAGTCAAAATGGACCAAACATCCGGCCTGTTAACCCACCATAATTTTATAATAATCATTAGAATAGCTTTATTTTTAAAGAACCTTTCCAAAATTACTTCTAAGTGCAAAAACAAATGATGAAAGTACATAAAATCCTAAAACATTAATCACCAACTACAAAAGATACGAACAAAAAAGGCCATATAAAAGTGAGTTATAAGATTTAAAATAAGAATGTGATAACATCAGGAGAATGGTGTTTAGTTTAAGTGAAAAAAAAGTTACTATTCAGGAACCTGGAGTTGACCATTAACTCAATCTTTTTGATCTGGTGATAAAACTGAGCTGTCCACCATCCCTGTGTTGCAAAGCGAGGTCTAAACATCTCATATGGATTTCTCTGTGTGTTTAATACTATTTCCAGGGTTCCATGAGAGCAGAAAGAGGGACCAGATGTTCTTGTGAAGGTCAAAGCCTCCGGTCTAATGGCGGTACACGGCTCTGATGGAGGGCAGATGTTTGCAGGGTTATCCACTCCATATGGCCGCCACTCGTCCACGGGCCTTTTCACAGCACAGCTCTTGTAAACACGCTTTAGTTCGCTGTTCTCTTTTTTCTGCCCCTGTAAAACATGTCCTAAATCCAATCACCTAGTCCCTCTAAAGGGGATGATGTTGATGAATGGGAATGTGTAGTGGTTGTAGTGACCTATAAGCCCTGCTGAGATTACAGGCAGCCAGGCCGGGGCTCCAGGAAACAGCCAGAGCTTAGAGAGGGATTGTTTGGATAGACAATGGTGTCTACCTGGTTTTAATCCCCGCTCAAAAAGAGTACAGGGGATTGTCAGAGTTTAATAAATGAAAGTGCTCGTATAATCAGGATTTGTCAAAGTGCCCCTTTGTGTTAATCGGACATTTTTTACAGCATGGTTTTTGACATCTGCCACAGCAGGTGGTGTTAACCTCATCTCTGCCCCATCTGTATGCAGTGTACATTTACACCAGACATGCAGAGAAGTGCACACAACACAAACAAACAGGGACGGTATGCATCGTCTAAATATTTAGCATTTTTTTAGAGGATGCTGACAAGTCTAAGTTTCTCCAATGTAAAGCCAAAAGAATAGTTTTGAAATCCAGAATTGCCAACTTAAAAAAAACAAACTTTAAATTCACAACATAGATAGCATTAAACCACATACCCCTGAAAGTAATATATGGGATGCAGCCATAATGCGGCCACAGCTGACTTTGGCACAACCCTATGATTTACTTACTAAAAGGCTAATAGAGCACGGATGTGTAATTACTTCAATGCTAAAACAGAAAGCTGCATTTTTATAATTAAAGTCCAGCGTATCAGCGATAAAGCATAATAAAATTGTTTTAAAATCGAGGATTACAACAGTAAATCCCGTCGGGGCCAGATGTGAGGGTGGGAGGGGCTGTTGCATTCTGGGACCAGATTAAACTGAAAATCCCACAGGACCGCGCTGTCTTTCCTCCGCAGTTTAGAGGCTTGTGTGGACTCAACATGCTGTAATCCACCGATTAGCTGATATAATCACCTGTAAATACACCTTGGCCATGATGTTGCCATCAGCCCTGCATTACGTCCCTCATGTGTGTTGGACACTTTGTTTTGGAGACGGGTCAGTTTTTAACTTTCTGGGAAGCAGAGGCAGACGCTCGGACCAGACAGACAGCTGGGCGAGAAATGTGATCTGAATGAGTTCCCAGAATCTAAACTGTACAGATGATTAATGTTCAATCTTAACTCCTACCAGCTGCAAGAGTCAATTATTATATTTCAGCAATAGCCTGTACCTTAATGTGAAATGGGCCATTCTGCTTTTCTCGACATACATTAATATGACTTTTTTCAACTTACTCTAGTGTCACTTTCTTTTAGACATACCATACATTGAAACAATTACTTTTTTGGACATATTATTTCATGACTTTTTTTGAAATATTATACCATTACCCATTTGAGACATACTGTACATTACTAGTTACTTTTTCTTTGACATTCGATACTACTTGAATATAGGAATATACTATTTTATTACCTTGTTTTACATATTTGACATGACTTTTATTCTCACTTTATTCTACATATTTATGACCTTTTTCGACACACCATACTATGATTTTTTTCCACTTTTTTCGACATACTATGACTTAGTTTTTTTTAACATTTTACATATTTTAAATGACAAGACCTGTCAACGTGTTGTAAATCCACTTCATTCTGAACACATTTGTTTGCAAACTGCTTTTAAAACATGACAGACAAGAGCAGTAGGACCAGTTCATGTTTTTTTTAATGCTTAATACAATTCAGTATGCAATTATTCCCCTAAAGTCACTCCATCACAATGGATTAAACAAAGAGGGATCAAGTATTTTAGCATTTTTATTCTGTAAGACACTTAAACACGTCATTCCTGAAAGAGAAAACGCATGATTTTGGTTCATAGCACATTCATGCCTGGCAAGAAAAAAAATATTAAGACTACATCAACACATTTCTTTTTTTTACAAATCATGGAAGCAAAACAATATAAACAATATCTTATATATAAAACATAGCAGGCATAATAAATATTACACATAAACAAAAAAAAGTCAAAGTAAACAGTTAACCTATTTGGTTTGGGCCATGTTTGGAATAAGGTTTTAAATCACTGAACTGAAAAGCTGAACGTCAGTTAAGTAAATCTCCTGGGAAAAGTTCAACTGATCACTCATTACAGAATATCCAACCCAAACTGTTTTTGTTCAATCTCATCGAATAACATACACAGGTACAGTTTTTAGTTTTTCCTATGACCACGTTGTTTCTTGTGCCCTTGTGTGTGTGGTTTTAATACCTCAAGAGTTTAATGAACACTCAATCTGATGTATTTAGTGCAGGACATTCCTCAAAACAGTTTTAGTCATCTCATATTCAGTCATTGTTTTTAGGGAAATCAACTCTCATTAGTTCAACATACCAAATGGCATTAGTATAACCAAAATTAACAATAAAGAAGGAAGCCCGCCTGCGTGTTGAAACATAATGTTTTGTACCTTTTGGGTACACTTTTCATTCATTTTTTTAGGGGCGTGTTAGCGTAATCACAGGAGATGGGAATCAGTTTTTTTTCAGTCAGGAATCAAGGACCATGTAATCATTCAAACACACTCACACACACACACACACACTCACACACTTGTACACAAACAGCTAACAATACATTCTAATCCATTGTGTGACTGTAAATTCACTCCTTAGTGATTCTTCTACTTAACATAGATAACTGTGCAATTTCTTTATTTTTTTTATTTTTTTTAAAGCAAACCAGGAGTAGTATAAATATTAGGAGGACGTCCTAGGTGCTGTTTTTTTTATTTAATTTAGCCACGTGTAGAGAGCATTTTCAAGACGTATTGTTCCTCTCTTTCACTCTGGTGACGGAGAAGATGCAGGACTCGCCCCCCCCCCTCACAGTCAGCCTTAAGGTCCCAGCCCCTATAATGCTACTTCTGTTGCAAAGTGCAAGCAGTTAATGTCTCTCCGCCTCTCCCTTCCCTTCCACTCGAGAAATTCGGGAACCAATGCAACAGCAAAGAAAGGAAAATGTTCAAATGCAACAATGGTACGGTCAGTGTCCAAAAGAAAGCAACCAGAAGGGAGAGGGCAGCAAGAGAGAGTGCATTTGTGTCTCAAGAAATTCAGTCCATCGAAGCAAGAAAAAGTGTTCCTTATCACGTCCACGTGCCACTGATCAGCTGATTGGAAGAGTGGTTATACCTCCCTAGAAAGAAAAGAAAAGAACATTAATACACATATCCACTAACGAGAATAAACTTCACTTTCTTTCAAACTAAAAAAAGAGAAGAATGATATTGATTGTTAGTGCTAGTATTTAGTTTTTATAAGAAAGGCCACCTAATCGTGACGTCTGTAGTCAAAGTACCACCAAAGTATAAAAGACTACAATTCCCACGGCGCCTCCTCTAAAGTGACAGTGATGGGCAACCTGCTGGAAAGATGCGGTCGAGGAACAGTTTTTAACCGTTCAAGTTATCAAGTTATATAAACCTTAACAAGACAGAAAGCAAGAAAGAATACCTAAATTGTTTGTTATTTTATTTGAGTTTTGCCTACTTGTTTTGACTATTGCAAAGGCCTCTTTTCTTTGTTGCTTGTGTACAAGTGTGTTATTTTATTTTGAGCAAACCCATCGCATAATATCATCCAAACCATCGGAGGCCAAGCAACTCATCAACACAAACAGATACCTTCGAATTAAAAATGTCTGTTCAAGGCGTCTAGTGGCTCGAAGGAAGCCACGACATTGATCTTATATTGAACCATTCCTTTTAATGTGGTAAATCTGTACATTGATATTGCAGAGGTAATGACTTACGATGCAGTGAGTGTGGAGTTGAGGACCAGAGTGGTGCGTATCCTATACAGCTGAGCGAGCGTCAGCTTCTTGTGCTGCTGGACCGGAGATTTCCTCTTTTTAGGCGACATCTCCCCCGAATCACTGGGGGCTGTCGTGTCCTTTATCCTTTCTACGCAGGCAGGTGGCGCCGTTTCCCCGTCTGAGCTGTTGTTTTGGGGCTCCTCACACTCACCAGGGGGCGTGGCGGGGGCCTGCCTCACCTCCGCTCTCCTCAGGGTGGCAGAGAGTTTATTTGAGGTGGCGCTCAAGCAGTCTTCAGACCGGTCGATGTCGCTGGAAAACATCTCCAGGCAGTTTTGTCCGAGCTCCGTCAGACTTCTGCTGTGAGCCAGCGGCGATGCGACCCTGCGTTCTGATTGGTCCGGCCCCTGAGAGCTGTGTGTGTCCGTTGTTTGGGTTTTACCGTAGAGGCGTTGCAGCAGATTGTCCTCGGAGCGGGAGAGAGTCAGGGTGGAGAGCCTCTGGAGGCAGTGGAGTCGGGGCTGAACGTGAGGCCGCCGGCGGGGTCTGGAGGACTGGATCACTGAAATCTGAGACCCTAAAGAGGCCGCATCCTCCTCATCCTCCTCTTCTATCTCATCTATTTCTGCCTCCTCCACCTCCTCCTCTCCTTCAGTCTGGCCGGGCTGAGGCTCTCCCAGGAGGGATTCGGGGGAGAGGGTACCGTAGGCGCTGTCCATGGAGAGGGAGCGGTTCTGGGGGTCCGTCTCCTCATCACAGTAAACACTGGAGTGAACTCTGAGAGTGGACTGCTCGACCTCAGACCTTTCAGAGAGGGGATCCACGTCCGAGTCTTTCTCACCGGACTCCTCCAGGTTCATGTTGGGGGCTGGGGGCTGTTCGCTCGGTTCATCGATGTCCATCACTGACAGGGTCTCAGTGGAGCCATCTGATTGGCTGAGAGGAGAGACTTGGTTAGTTAACTGGATCGCTACTAATGAAACTCAGAAATGTTTAATGTCACTAATACACACACACGCTCAACACGTCGTTCTCCATCCAACACACTATAAACAATACACCATTAAAAGAAGTCTCTAAAACTAAAAGGTAAAAAGAGACACATCAGAGGTCAGTATTCACGGATAATAAATATATATACACACAAACAAAAAATCAACAATCACACAATTATATGTGATCTTTGATTACTTTGATGTATGCCTATTTGTGAGTTTTAATGGGGGTTGACTTGTTCCTTGACTTGTACCTTTAGAATAATATTTAGGCCAGTAGAAAAAAAATAAGTTTGAAGTGAGTAGTATAGTTTTGTGAATACATCAAGTTATATGTATAAAGTTTTGTTTTCATTAAAAAAAAATGATAATATCTTTGGAAGATTGTAGTTATTAAATGAGTGTAATTTTTTTTCAAATGATGCAATCACATTCACATTAGCATCCATTAATTATTTAATACAGTTGATTAGTAATATGCAGTACCTTGAGCTCTGCTGGTTTTGTGCATCAGGCAGGGGGAGCTTGAGTTGCTGCTCTCATCTTCCTCCTCCTCCTCTTCCTCGCCCGTACACCTCTTCTTGCTACTCTGCTGCCGGAGTACCTCCTCCGTGCGCAGCCTCTGGAGCTGGTTCTGCGGGGGGGGAATAAAACCACATTGAGTTTGGAAACAACATCATAATGTCTCTGAATCTGATTTGCAAGCTCTGTGTCTACAACATTTAATAAGATATGGTGTGTCTCTCTCACCTGGACGTTGCAGATTGCATCGATCCAGCTTCGCCCCTGGGTGGCGCTGTTGGCTTGTAAAGTGTAAGCTGCCACTGCACTCTTAAACTCATTGAGGTAGATGAGGATGAATGAGCCTGCAGGGGCAAAAGCACAACAACACAGGATTAGATCTCCAAGGGTGTACATTGAGACACAAAGGTACACACTTGAAGTAAAAAGTCAGTCAGTGATCTCCAGAGATGGAAATGTAACTCAATTCGACTATATGTCACTTATACTTGTAATCCATTATATCTGCCTGACCGTTTTTGATTCCTAACTGAATTTCTTACATACTATGACCAATACCAACAAGATTTAAAACAGTTAGAACTAGCAAAACCCTTCACATCTACAGCAGTAAAAGTCAACATGCACAGTGATATTTATCCCCAAACATCACATATAATAGTAAAAGCACTGACAAAGAAAAATAAATATTCAAAAAATCCAACTAAAGTCATTTGAAGATTCTTATATATGTCAAAAGTGTCTGAATTAGGAAGATGATCATCGGTCTTTGTCTGAGCACTCACCAGGGTCTTTGAGCTCCTTACAGACGACGTTTTGAATGAGCAGAGGCTGACGGATGATCTTCACTTTCTCCACTCTTTTCACCGACTTGGTGATCAGCAGCAGGTCAGTGAACAGGACACAGTGGACGTCCATCTGCAGGGAGATACACTCAGGTCAGGTCGGACAGAAAGGTCATCCTTTTAATGTGAAATGTGAGGCGAGAAGCCAGATGTTGAGGATAAGCGGAGCTCGTGGTGTGTTTACAAGCTGAGAGTCAGACTTACTCGGCTGTCTTTGCCCTCTTTCATCTTCAGCGTCCCTCCAGATGCAGCTGTCGGGTCTCCTCCGGGGAAACTCCTCTCATGGGAGCCATGAGGTCGAAGCGGTTGAACTCCTTGAGGATCTGACAGGAGAAAAAAAGACAAAAAAGCATGAGGTCAATCCTTACAGAACGTCTCATATCTGACTGAGCTTTCCTGAAGAAGACGTGAGAAAGCCAGGAGGAACTAGTTTCCTACCTTCTCCACCTCCTCACTGCTGCCCTCCACAGCCTCGTAGGAGTCTATTCGGGCAGAAATGGTGGCCAGATTCTGTTGTTCCTGGCGCTGTCTCATCTTCGACTCCACGCTGTTGATGAAGCCTTCCACTGCCGCCACCTAGAGGAGGGGAAATCACAAATACTTTCAGATGTTTTTCAGTAGTTCACATTCTGTCATGTGGATGTTTGGGAAAATTGTAAGTCTTAAATATTGTTGGGTAGTTTAATCTGCAGCGATGCATCAAAAATAATCATGTTTGTAGTGTCCTTGTCCTGAGAGAACAACATTTCTCTGAAAATATCTGTTTTTAGATGTTGTGGTGCTGCATTTTCAGCCGGTCCCAGAGGGGTTTTAAATAGTTTATTTAGCTTAAGGAGTAGGACAATTTCTTCAACCCACACTTCATCCTTGCAGTTTATTACAAACATTTGAACTCTGAATCAACACATTTGAAGGTGCATGATTGTCCCTAGATAGAAAGGCTATATGAACAAATGTAATCAGTTTAGTAACTAAAACTGTCTGGCAAATGCAGAATTATAAAGTGACATAACATAGAATTAATGGAAGTATTCAGATCCTATACTTTAGTAAAAGCATCATATAATACTGTACAAATACTTAATACCAACAAGTGACCAATCCTGTATCGAAAGTGTATTTAGCTAAAAGTATGTAAGTGTAATTAGGATAACGTATCAAGTATTTAAACGTAAAAGTACTTGATGCCAATGGGTTAGTTAGTTCAACTTAGTTACATGTTAATAATGTTCTTACCATGCTGTTGACTTTGTCCCGTGTCGACGGGTCGTCCGTCTTCTTCAGGACCCTCGTCAGCAGGAGGGGGTATTTGGTCAGTCTCTGGTGAGGCTTGGCCAACATGTCGATCAGCTTCAGGCGGTTGCACTGCTTATGAGTCTCTGCCCACTGAAGAGACAACAAAGACAGGAAATCAGACATTTAATGAGGCATAAATATGTAAACAACACACCGTGTGTGTTTACCGTGAGTATCTGGGATTATTTTAAAGGTCTCCTATTATGCTATTTTTAGGCATATTCTATGGGTCTCAGATATATAAATGCTACCGTGATTAAATGCTCCAAACCACATCAAGGATTATTTCTGAAACAGTATGGAGCTCAAATGCTTTTTCTCTCTCAGGTTTACCACAAGGTGAGTTATTATTTTACACATACTCTCTCCAGTACAGGTTAGCTCTGAGTGTTAGCGACGCTCGCTAATGTAAACACCGACCATATTACTTCCAAAACAGTCGGGCATTGTTTCTGAAAGCAACGTTTCTGATAGTGGCGTGGGTCTACATTTCCGATATTACGTCATATCGGACGCAAATCTGGATCAGCTCCGTTGTACCCCCGTTTTTAGAGATTTGGGTACGGAGGAAAAGAGAGAGGGTTTTATTTTCTGACGCTGCGTGATTTCCCTGACACACCGGGGACACATGTTTATGTAGAAAAGTGGAGGACTGACCGTGACGTAGGTCCTGAACAGATCGTTGTCCCGCAGCAGCGTGCGCATGTTCTCCATGATGCCCTCCTCCTCCATGCAGTACCGGATGTACGGCTGGAACCTGGAGCCAAACTGAAACACACAAACAAAAACATGCATGAGAAATATTACTCACATCCTCCTGAGGGAAACATATTCACTTATGCATCAGTCTAACGTCAACATTGCATTATATTTTTTTAAGTAAAACTTTTATAAAACAATCCAGAAATGATCTTTAGTGTTCAAATATAATGGGTATTGGAGGTGCTGGCATATTAAAGTACTTCCTTCTTCATATCTTATTTACTCAAGTAAAAAAAATGGCTGCAATAAAAAGTGTGATAAACATCAGCTTGAATAAGCAAAAGGGAATGTGAAAAGAGATTTTCAGAAAAGTACTTCACTTTTCCCGTAACCTTCAATCAGTCGATTAAGAAAAGGGGGGATTTCCTCGGACTTGAGCAAACACTTAACTTTTCCTGAGGAATAACTATTTACTTTCACATCAAAAAGAACACAATGTCATGGATAATACATATAAAGTCCAGATATTCGTACAGTAAAAGGTCTAAAAGAATAGATACAAATCTAAATTAGCTACTAAGAGATTGATACAAAAATAACTACAATTCAATTTATCAACTGACCTGTTTCGTACCAAAATGATTGAAGGTATATGGAAACTATTAGGTTTCAATAGCACATTTTATTGATGAATTAAGTCATATTGTTGACTTGTCAGATAACCTATTTTTTGCCTTTTATTGGTTTTAAGTTATTGAGAGTTTTATCCATAATATCCAAGACACAGATCAAAACATTCTGTATATTTGATCGAGGTTCCCGGGTTTTACTAAGACCGTTAGTACAGAAATGAATCAGCTTGTTAAATGGCCCATTAACCTAATTAGCCTGAACTAATCAGTGCTGTGTGGTAAAGTCCACAGGTTCACGCTGTCCTGATAACCCTTTGTTTATGTAGATATCGGAATATATTGTTACTATATAAAGATTAAGATTCCTTTTATTGTCACTACACAGAGTACCGCGAAATTCCAAGCATTCCTGATGGTGCAATCCCACATAACAGACAGTATAAGTATAATATCACAGTGTGGTGTGTACTGACCGTCTGGAAGCCCTGGTGCAGGTCTGAGGGGTCCAGCAGCGCGCGGTTCTGCCGGGCTTTCTGCAGGACGGGCAGCATGACGGAGTTCCACAGGGCGGTGTGCAGAACCACGAGCTCCTGGATGTTGCTGAACAGCTTGGTGGGCTCCACCTCCGTCAGCAGCCCGCTGTCCTGCAGGTTCAGCAGCCCACACAGAAACAGCTGGGGAGGGCACACAGAAGATTGAGTTTTAATATAATGTTTATTGGCTTTTCCTTTTTTCTTTCATTGTTGCTGTGTCAATGCTTATGGCACATTTTTGTAGTTGTTTCTGAATCTTGGAATTTCAACCTCAGCTTCTATAGTACTGTCTATTTTTTTTAACTTTTTAATGCTATTTTATTTCAGAAATATTTTGGACTGTTTATTTCTGGTATCTTGATTTCTCTTATGTACATTGCCTTGTTTTTTATGCTGCTGCAACACAAAACATTTCCCTCTATCTATCTACCTATCTTCCTACCTACCTACCTACCTACCTACCTACCTATCTATCTATCTATCTATCTACCTATCCATCCATCTATCTATCTACCTACCTACCTATCCATCCATCCATCCATCTATCTATCTATCTATCTATCTACCTACCTACCTATCCATCCATCCATCCATCCATCCATCCATCCATCCATCTATCTATCTATCCATCCATCCATCCATCCATCCATCCATCTACATTTTGTAGGGAAATAATTAATAAAATAAAAGGAGAAATCCTCCATTACCCTAAGAAATACTCTCAGACCTTTGATGACAAATTACAGAACTGAATACTTTTAAATTGACTATTAAAAGTAAAACCAAAGTGTATGATGTTACGGCCATTGCTGAATGAATTCATGCACTTCATTCTGGTCGGCCTTTTGTTCTAGAGGATTTCAATTTGTATTTTTTATAGCTTTTCACCAGATAGCACATTTTCTTTCCATTTGGGATTTTGTCCGGGACTGAAGTTGATTAAAAATGTGACTGATGAAAGTGCCAAATAATATCATCATAAAAAACATTTTTAAAGCAGACATTTTTGTCCTATACTATAGCATAAAGCATAAAGGTTAAGCCGACAAAGTCTTCAAAGCAGAAGGTTATCACTCAACACATCACAGGATTAAGGTCTTTTTCTAAGGCTTACTGAGTGGTGATAAAGTCCGTGTTCCTAACAAGAGAATCACTGTGTGTGTTATCTCTGTGGGTACAGGAGCCCGTTGCAACACATCCATAGAGTATCAGTGGTCTGTACAGTAGTTCCTTACATCAGTGATGACTCGGAGTTTCTTTATGTAGGTGGCCTCGGTCTGCAGCAGCTCCCAGATCGCCTCCTGCTGGTGGAACTGCCGCCGGGTCAACGTCTGAAAACACAAACATCTTATTAAATATAACGGAAACATTGACAGATTCTTCATCTTATTGCATTACATTGTTATTACTAGTGATGTGCTCGTGTGCCTAGGCTTTAAATACAGGATGGTCAACGTCTATAAAAACAAACGCACATCAGATTGTTATAAATAAAATAAACATTGACATATTCTTCTTCAACTTGTCTCGTTTGCCGAGGCTTTTAAATACAGGATGTTATAAAGAGCACCCGGTGGAACAACGTCTCTTAATATTTACAACTTAATCACTCTCTCTGTGTTTGAGTAGGCAACCATTACACAACAAACCCAGTTCCTGTTACCCTTAACCTACTATACGACTATAATGATGTGTTCAAATGTGTTTAACACGTATACTTTGGCTGAAGATATGATTAAAATATGATTTTTTTATTTAGATATGATTCGATTTGAGAGGCCTAATTATGCTTTTTGGGGGTTTTCTCTGTCTTGTAGTGTATTATATAGGTTTCTGTGCATGTAAATGGTCTGCAAAGGCTAAAATCCCAAAGTTCAAAGTAGAAAGTAGAAAATTAAAGAGCTTTATCAACATTAAAGCAGGGAGATACGTCTCAGTAGAGGCACGAAATACACTTATGAACCTGAAAATTAGTATTTTAGGGCCCCTTTAATCTTTGTGCTTTCTGACGTATTACCACCTCTATGAGAAAGTAGAGTAGCCTGATCAAAAAGACAATGTTTAAACTGACAGTGAGTCATACATGATGTTTTTCGTGTGAATATATCGTGTTTGTATCGATGTATTTCATTTCCATTGTTTGTATGCAAGCTTTTCATATTTGTATGATGTCAATGAATTGTGCTGTTTAGACGCTGTTGTTGTTGAGTCATCCCCTGAAGGATTAGTCACATACATACAAGGATTCAGTCCTTCCTTCACGCTCTCAGACACCAGAGTAACTGGTTCTGATGTTTTCCAGTAAGTCATTATCTTGTCAGTGTTGTGGCTTGTGTAACTTTGGGGTGAATGTACATTATGGGAGCGAGCAGCAGCAGCAGCTGAGCGTCTTTCTGATTAAACATTAACAGGTGGACAGCGTGCGATTATATAATTGACTTTGGCATGCAGGGTTTACTGACAGCAGTGAAACCGTAAATCGCTTTGTGAGCATCATTCCGGGAAAACAGGCATCAGGTGTGAGTGAGACACACGATGAGGAAGTGAGAGTCAGGAGCATACCGGGAAACAGGAAGTCAGCATACCTGTACTGCAGGTGAGCAGCTGGCTGAATCATCATAAAGTGGTATTAAATGGCAATTACGAGGTTTTCTTTTTTTGTTAAAGTTTTCCTATGACATTTACTATAAAAAGGATCAAATGCAAAGGAGATTTAAACATTAAGGTTTAAGTATAATATTTTATTTTGAAAGCTATGCCTCTTCTTTCCACCAGATTTAGACCTTTTTCATGTTTGACCTATGGCATGCTGTTTTACTGATAGCCTGCTCAAAAGTTAAATACATTAAATTAATATCAATTAAATACATGAGAATAAAAGTGGTCCTTATCATTGAAACTCAACCAGACGAGGAAAAAAGTCCTCTAAGTATTGAAAATAATATTGTTTTGGTGTTTTGCATAACGCTTCAAAAACAGTTTTTTCTTATGAACCAGAACAGTAGCATTTGTTCAGTTCAAGGATCAAAGGATCAAATGAAAAGGAAATAGTATTGTAGCATCTTTAAGCTAAAAGCTATTTGTCCTAATTCACAATTGATGTATTGAAAAAAGGCACAAAACCTCTCAAGTTTTAAGGAATTAAAGAACATAATATTTTTTTATCTCATTTGGTTTCTAGCTCAATTCCTTTTTCATTTGACATTATATTCCAGTGTCTTTACACAAACCCCCAAACAGCCTGTGTGCGTTTTTACCTCAGAGTCGTCCAGCAGCATCTGCCAGCTGTCCTCCAGCACCAGGTTGGTCTCCTGCTCCTCCTCCTCCTCCTCCCAGGAGTCCTGGTTGAAGGAGAGCTGCTGCGGCACCTTGGGGAGCCCGAACGTCATGTAGGAGTGCAGTTTGCTCTGGAGCTGCTCCAGACGGTCCGCCTCCTGCAACCACACACAAAAAACAAGCCTAATTACATTTCAACAAGGTTAACGGCGAGACGGCGAGAATTACTGTCCACTTCTGTCCTTTGTGTCTCGATTTATTGTTACACTCAAACTGTAAGTAAAGATGAGTCCGCGCATTAGCATTCAAATCCTGTCCTTTACTGGCGCCGTAATTCTTAAATCCAACAGTGGCTGCTATTCAGCCCTTTGTTCAGCCTGGCAGGCTTTACGTAGTTATGAAAATGAGCTCTGTGCATTGAGACCACTTTAACAATGGGAGACTGAGGGGAGGGGGCAAAAGCTACAGCATGTGTGGGGGGGGGGGGGGTGGGGGTCCAGAGGTTTATAGGTCATGAAACCCTTGGAAGAAGTACTATTAATAGAGAGAAATTGTACAACAGTGATCAGTGATTAGCACTTCTTTTCAACGTTTTTTAGTGAAAGGCCGTGCTGACAGTGGTTCATCTCTACAATATGGATGGAGTGAGAGGTCCAGGTCCTGGGGAAGGGTCTCTGGTCCTGGAGGGGTGAAGGGGGGACGGGGGTGAATAGAGATGAGGCAGGCAGTGACAGGTGAGTGACAGATACTGTCTCTGCCTGACATCTGTTACTGTGCAGGACGTGACCTCAGGGCGGGGAGACAATCGGAGTGTGTGTGTGTGTGTGTGTGTGTGTGTGTGTGTGTGTGTGTGTGTGGTGTGTGTGGTGTGTGTGTGTGTGTGTGTGTGTGTGTGTGTGTGTGTGTGTGTGTGTGTGTGTGTGTGTGTGTGTGTGTGTGTGTTTTATCAGAAGGAAGGTGATGATTATTGTTTTAAACATATGATACAGAAATGTAAGGAAAGGTTTGACATTTCCACGTAGCTGTTTAAATGCTGCTACACATTTGTTAGCCATGGATGATGACTTATTTGTCCTTATTTTTATCGTGTCATTACTTATGTGTGCTTTTTTCTATATTTAACATGTTAGCTACGTCCTATTTAAAACAAATGCTGGATAGAGACAGGCTCGCTGTTTCCTCCAGTATCCAGTCTTTAAGTAAAATTCAGCTAGCTCACATTGGAAGAGAAGTATCTCGTCATCTAACTTCCTACCAAATATTCCCAAAACGTCAAACTATTGTATTTTCAAAATCGAACCATGGATGAATTGAGCGAGGCTTTTCCTCCTCCTCCTCCTCACTTCCAGAGGAAAGTGTGAGAGCCAACAACACGAGACCTCCAAGGGAAATTACCTCATCAGAAACTCAAGGGAAACGGCCTCCGACCCCCTCCCACTGCAGCTCGCTACCGTTTAATGCTTTTTCAATTTTATTCTGAGATTTGTCTGGGAAGCAATCGCGCCTCATATTAACTTATACAACAATTTCTCTTTAAAAAGGCAGAAGAAAATGCTATATTTCCCTGTGATCCTACGCTAGTATACAATAAATGTATGTAGAAATAAACCACAGCAGCCATTAAAACCGATTTATATTTCGACCGTTAGAATAACATTGTATCAGTTTGCATGAAGTGCTCTGAACTCAGGAAAGGTCAATATGATTAGTCATCTTCTCCGTCTGATCGTTACCTTTCCGAAGGCCCCCGTCCCAGCGCTGGAGCTGAAGAAGCCACTGAAGCGGCTGGCGGCTCGGTTCTTCCAGCTGTCAGGCCCGGCCCCGATGCCGGGCAGGGAGCCCAACCCCCCCAGAGCCTCGGGGATGGGAATATTCGCTTCTCCCAGGAACTCGGTCATGTTCTTTCTCCGTCGAGCCTGACCCTGCAAGAGCACAGACAGAGAGACATTTAAAACAAACAGAAAATGAAAGACTTGGCACGAGGGAACTTGTCAACGTTAAGGGGAAGGACGAACGTTTCCAGTCAGTCGGAGGGAAAGAGACAATGAAGGAAAGAGAGAAATACACAAGGACAGGATCAACAGGAAATCAGAGGGGAATTCTGTGCAAGGGATGACATCAGCGGACCGTTAGAGCTATCCTGATGATCCGACACAAACAGGAGAGGGAAGGACGGCCACTTCCTCGCCGTGAACGCTCATTACATCACAAGGAGGTTGTTCCATAAGAACAGACCGCTGAGTCTGGCCATTGTCCCCCTCCATTGTTACCCTGTCAGCGGGCCCTGCCTCGCTCAGACAATCTCTGTCCACTTTACGAGCTGCAGCAAAGCAAACAAACAGGGGCCACCGCAGTATCTGAGGAAGCAGTTGTTTTTGCCGTTAGAGAGGAATCTGCTGGTGGGGAGTCCGGCCGCTGACCCCCCCTTCAAACAGCGACAAGGAACTCGCATTCCAGGACACTGACACTGAAACTGGAGGCCATTCCTACTAAATTCTTTCACTGATCATCCCCCCCCCCTCGACGCACGCACATACAAACACAATGCAGGAAAAACACTTATGTCCAAAGTTGGTATGTCCCCAACAAAACAAGACATTCCTGCAGCAAAAACACATGACACTATTGGCTTTCCATTGCATTCAGCTGACACTGTTATCTCAGCAGAATAAATGCAATCAACCATGAGGATACCAATTCAGAACAGCACACATGTTAAACTAATAAGCTTCAATTAATTAATAACCAAACATTTTAAAGTACTACAACTTTTGTCAGGTTTGAATTGCTACAGAGCTGCGGAAACAGGTGGGTTTCCAGCGTACGGCAGAATATGTCGAGCCTTTCTTTTCAAATGAATAGTTATCGAATAAAGTATTTTGAAATGATTTCTACATGATGTATTATTAAAAGTCTAACCACATAGAATCCTGATTAAGCGTTGCACTTCTATAACATTGTAGGGGTCAAGATGGCGAGTCTTTTTTTAAATCAAGAAATCAATGAAGCTGAATTACACAGAAAACCTTTGCGAAAAACCCGGCCCCTACGTTACCTACAACAAAACTCAACTGCGGAAAGTTTGATCTGAGATCCAGGGGTGTTATGCTAATAGCAGCTATTGTAACCTTGAGCCTGAATATTGACGGTAAACAAAATGTTCCATCCCTGGAGCTCTCGGTCTACAGGTGCCATCTCCACCAATCAGAGGGCAGCCCAGTAGACTCTACAGAGCCTGGGAGGTAAAACCCAGGGCAAAATAAAGTCCGCCATCACTCGCTGCTGCTGGTAAAACGTAATGAAAATGAGTGCTGTAAGCATTTGGTTTTATGACACATTTTTATCAACTTTTCCACTGAAAAGATCTGAGTTTTGGTGGTTGGAAAGTCTCTGTTTATAGGGGGAAATCAAACTAACACTGTAACTTTAACAAAAACAAGAACGCTGACTGTCAAACTTTGACTAAATGGGTACAAACTGCATCTACAAACCGACTGGATAAAGATCTTCCGAGGTTGAGCATCCCAGTTACTCAAAGTAAACACCTTCCATTACACTTCAGATAAATAATTATCCAAGTATAAAATGTGCGGCATGTATATTCAACAAACAAAAATGTAAATATTATGAACAGCTCGAGTCAATTAATTCCATTTTAGGAAGAGCATGTCGAGCCCTTTGTTAAACCACTTAACTAGAGTAAAGGCATACAAGTGGGCCATTCAGTTGCATAACAAGATAATAAATCTGAGTGGGGGGTCTTAAAGGTTTTCAGCTTTTAGTCCTTTTATCTTTTTTTAAATGATGATGTCCAAAGAGGAGAGTGACTTAACTGCAAATAGAAATGTTGGCTTTAAAACAAAAGGTGAAAGGGGAAATGGGGCAAGTTTTAAAGTAGTTATAGCGAAAGGGAAACAAGTGATTTAAGTGAGTTTTTTTAGAGGGGAATTCTGGGCCAACTGGGCAAGGACACAGGTGTCAGGAAGTGTTCAGTCTCCATGGACAAACAGTGGGAAGAAATCTGGACCCTGTGCTCTTGACAGCGAACCAACGGACAAACTGAAACCCGGGTTTGTTTGAGTTTCGTGACGGCTCTCAGCAAAGAGCCTGCTTTCACCTCTTTAGATTTCAAAACAGAGGTGTTCAGCATATACCACGAATACAAATCTGACAAACATAGATTAAATAATTAAGTATGCAAAAAGAAAAAGCAAATATCTAGACACTAGATTCTCAAAAGGCAAGGCCAGGAAGTTGTAATTAACACAGGGATAGTTTCCCACCACATTAACAGTGCTCACCATTGAAGCCAGAGGCATGTCAAAAGTAACAAAAACCATCCTAATCCTTCAATTGGATTCATGGATCGCAGCCCATTCTGGAAGCAGCTGCTGCGCTCTCTCAACTTCTAGCCTCCTCTCTCTCCCCAAATCCACTCGAAAAGCACCCACATCCACGCCGTCCGGACCTTTGTCGCAGAAACAGTCCCAAAAGCTGAGTGACAAACGCTGGGTTAGAATTCCAGGATGAAGATAACTGTTTTGAACTTCATACGGTTTTCAAAGCGTTCCAGCTGACCGGGTCCTGGTCTGCGTCCTGCCGAGCTTCTCTTTGAACCGGGATGTGTCTCTGTCTCTGTCCTGATGTCCAAACAGTCAGCGGTTGCATTTCATACAGACTCTGGAGTGAAGTCATAGCAACAAGGAGGATCCTGCCTCATTGTGTTGGGCAGGAAAGAGTGGGAAGGGCCGGGGCAAAAAAAATACAAAAAAAAGAGCGGCTGATTTAAATATTTGGAGGTGGAGTCAGGGTGACAGCTTGTGAGGGAGTTCCCTGACACACACACACACACACACACACACACACACACACACACACACACACACACACACACACACACACACACACACACACACACACACACACACACACACACACACACACACACACACACACACACACACACACACACACACACACACACACACACACACACACACACACACATCACACACACACACACACACACACACACACACACACACACACACACACACACACACACACACACACCACACACACACACACACCACACACACACACACACACACACACACACACACACACACACACACACACACACACACACACACACACACACACACACACACACACACACACACACACACACACACACACACACACACACACACACACACACACACACACACACACACACACACACACACACACACACACACACACACACACACACACACACACACACACACACACACACACTCAAACACACGGGTCCCCTTTAGGTCAGGCTCTACAGGCACATGAAGAAATAATCCAATTTATCCAAGATTAGTGCCATACCAAGCAATTACCTTGAATAAAACCCATGCAAATTACAGGGTGACTGTAAACACTTCGTTCTTTTCTCTCATTTGAAGTTGGTCCACTATTCTTTGTGCCATCTAAAATCTGTGTTTAGCCCGGAGACCTTTGAACAATGCCAAGCTGGCTGGCCAAAACAAGGAACAAGAAATGCCCCGATAATGGCCCAACGGGAAATCCCCTTTGTTTACTTGCATGTTTGAGCACATTAAATAAGCTGCTTATCCCCAGTAGATAAGCACAAGCACACCAAATCCTTTGGGAGGTCTGAAAACTTTATAGAGGTGACACTATCGCAGCTATTCTGATAACAAAACAATGGTTTGAATTCTCTAATCTCCGTTTACAGTCTTTAAAATAAGCAGATCTGCAGTTTTTAATCTGTTAATATCTTGTTGCAGGGATCTCAATAGGATAAGTATGTGTAATAATTAATCTTGATTAGGGATTGTGGTGCTGCATAGATGTAAAGACCAACTAATTGTATTCACAAAATATATATTTGAGGTACTTATATTCTTAAAAATGATCACATTAAGAATATCTTTCAACTACTATTATGAAAGATCCTCAACCCTCACTACCGTAAATCCTATGTAAATGATTGCAGTCAGAATAATTTACATTTGTTTATTTTTTTCAAATCTTGAAGCCCTAGTGTGTTAGATAAAACAAGCAATTTGAAGAGGGCCCCTTCTTATGGGGATTTCTCACAACAATGAATCTAAAAACTAAGAGAAATGTGTTGTTGAAGCTCTAAAACACTGTAGTCATGTTACTCAGACTAGATGATATTTCTGCAGGTAATAATACTACACAACATTGACTTTAGTTAGAGCAAACACACGATCCTAGTAAACACAAAGCCGCTCATAGTAGAGTCTGGTTAACTAATTATGTTGACAAGGTTCCCCCTGAGCCTCCTGTGTAAACCTGTCAGTCAGCACCCAGGGCAGCCAGATCCAGAGCTCTCTTTGTTGAAAAGCCTCGGGCTGTGGGGACTGCACCATGTGCCGCCGTCACGTTAACGATATCAAGCTCCCCTCAGCCTTATCTTATCACCGCCGGTTTGTGGCATTAACCTTGGCCTGGAAAGGAGAAAATCTTTAAATGGGAAGGGACTGTATTAAAATCGGTGATGACAAAGAAAAAGCAAAGAGACACTTTTTTCTGCTACTGCCTTTCAACTGATAACAGCTCCCCTTGATCAGGTGGGTTGATTAACGATGGGAAAACCGCGTGACACTGACCTTCCTTGACACACACTAACACAAGGCACACACTAACACAAGGACCACACTAACACAACCAGGAAATAGAAACGTACAAAGAAAACCCCCTGTAGTTGGTGGTCAACACTTGTTTCGTGGTTCAAGGCCAGTTCAGCCCCAATAAGGAAAACCACAGACACCAACAGAAGCTCTGAGCCCCAGGGGAGAAGAGAGTTCTTCCGGACCTCCCCCATCATTTCTGCAGCAAGGGTCCCGGAAACCTTTGCACTTTGCCCAATACACAACTC